ATCTCTCTACTCCAAGAACGAATTAAACAACAAACCATTGTCTTGAACAGTCCATAAACAATTTTCTTATTAAAAGATATAAAATAATGAGGAAACCACCCATCACCTCTTCTTCACTTGCAACTATGCCAAACAGAATTGGTAAATTTGAAATAATATCTTTGTTTCAATCTTAAAGATTATATACCCAAAAAAAAAGTTATCATAAGGAAAATAAACTATTAGAAAAAGATTGAATCTAAATCCTACATTAAATTGGATTCTCTTCTATATTAATCTAGGATATGTTACTATCATGATTATTAAAACTTCCATATATGTATAATACTTAACTTAATATATAGTAACATATCCTAGAATAATATAGAAGAGAATCTAATTTTATTTACAAAAAGAAAAACCTATCATATTTCTCTATATATATTATTAGTGAAGGATTTTGAGTACTATTCACTATTCAGTTCCATCAGCAAATACCGGAAAATAAACAATACAAAAAAATGGCTTCATCAGGGAAAGGGAAATGTGTCTTCCTTGTATTCTTATGCATGGTTGTTCTTCTCACCCCAAGTATGCCACAAAAACATTTATATTTTTTTCTGTTTAATTATATGTCAATTTATTTGTATATATTGAATTATAAGTTTATAACCAATATAGCAAGATGCATATGTTAACACTTAACACTAAGTAGCAAACCGGATTTTTTTCTATCATATATTGTATCATATCTCCATACATATAGTTAAACATCTTGTATACACTTTTAATTCATAATACATATGATATTAACCTTTTCTCTAAAAAAATGTACATTGTGGTTTTGCATTGTAACCGGGTGAAAGAGATTCTTGTACTTTTTATTTTTTGCTTTATTTCTAATGAATTTTTTTATTTAATATTACAATAATTTTGGAAAACAATAGGTGAAGTATACGCAAAATCTATGGCAGGAGTTAATGATGCTCACAAATGGTACCTTATTAGAGGTCTATGCTCAAAATTTCCGGACTGCAATAAGCACTGCAAAGAAGTAGAAAGATTTCCATTAGGTGGAGTATGCCGCAAAATTGGTGATAATATGATGTGTACTTGTATATATACATAATCTCGTGTATAATATATTAAGATATTTCATGAGTAGTGTTACAATATTTAAGTAACAAATATTGCAAAATATATTTTCAATAATAAAAATAATATTTATCAATATCAATTCTTAAAAATAAAATAATGTTTCATGCTAATGCAATCTGATTCGTAGTTCATATAAGGATTTTGTGCAAAAAAAACTTTCAACTCGCCAATTTTTGCAACTTTACCCTTTACTTCCAAATAATAAAAATTAATTTTACGAAGTCAAAAATAATACGAAGTATAACCATTATACGTATATTGTAAAAAAAATTATGGTCACATACATTAGATTGTTAAATTCTAAAGATAGAGTTGAACTCGTCATCGGAAGGGCTTCGATTTGACATCTTATTCATCAAAATTTTACAAATTTGATGGTAGCAAAAAAAAGTTAAATTGCATATTATTTTTGTATTCGTATGATTAATTTGCATTTTTTAGATGGATGGTAAATTTGTAAAAACTGGCGAAGTTGATTTTTTTTACACTAAACTTTTCGTATAAATGTATAACTTAAATGGACATACTTTCATATAATAAATTGAATAGATTAATGAAATTTATAATAGCTCTCCCAGACTTTAAATCAAATAATATAAACTTAAAAAAAAAAATAACGGGTATCTAGTATCCATAATTAACACAAGTCAAATATTTTGTTAAAAGTATCATAATATCTACAAAAAGTTTCAAATATAATATTTTATACATTTTTCATTTGTTCTGTGATATCAAAATAATAACAATAAAATCAATTTGAGTTAAGTTGATTGTTTAACATTTTTCTGAATGGTTTGAAAGCAAAAGGAAATATTATCAATGTAAGAAGAGTGCAAAGTGAAATCTGTGAATAACAAAAGATTTGGAGGATCAAATTGGATCTGTTCTCGATAACTTATGGAGAAGATAAGTGTAGTTTGCTAATGGATTTTTTTTTTTTTTGTATAAACCTGTAACTTGCTCTAATGTTTCCATGGTCGGTTATAATTCATTTCGTTTTGACAATTTCGAGAGCATATGTCAATCTTGAAATTGCAAAGGCAATAATATAAAACTATATTTTGATTTTTTATGAGGAATTGTTTAGTTAAATGACTTAAATCTATATTTTGCAGGTAAAATTCTAGAAATATATATTGTAGTAATTCAAATAAAAATATGAGTTTTAAATTCAGATAAAAACTAATCAAGAATGCTTACTAATCTCATCCCAACGTCTTGAGTTGATGATCATTCACAAACCCTAACGAAATTTATGGTCCAAACGCAAATCTTCATTGTTTGCTGAATTTCAAAGATAAAGGTCATCAGTTTTCGTGGTTCAAACGCAACTTTTCCAACCGCATCTATAGAACAAAATAACATCATTCCAAAACACGTTTACATTCATATGACCATCATCTTTGCTCATACAGCACCAAAACAAAGTTGAGTGAAGCATATATTCTCCGAAGTTCCAAAAAATCTATACCTAAACCGCAGACTAATTTTACCTAGATCATTTTTCTTAGATTTACGGTAGATAAAAAAATATTCACCAGTAGTCAAACCGTTAACAACAGTGACTTGCCACTCGGAAATCTTCGGAACTGTGATGTCTCTCGTGGTGGTGCCGCCGGCTAAGACATGATGTTGGCATCTTAGGGCTAGAGAAAAGCAAATTGGCAAGAAAATTTGTTTGATGCAATTCATACTTTTTTTGGTCAAGCAAAATATTTAGGAAGAATTTTTTTTTGTTACTCTTTTTTTTTTGTCATCCAAAATTAATTAAAGCTTAAAAGAATTATTATTATTATTATTGTCTTTTTGTTTGTTACTTATTTTTATAATGGAAGAGTGAAACGGTAATTGACGTTTAATTAAATTTGGATGCTTCTACATTGCATTAATGAAGAATCATGCTGCAAATCATTTACGTGATTGCTGGTTAATTAGAATTGAAGCTGAAAGGTTGGTCACATTTAATGCTCTTTATTTGCAATAATCTTTTCCAAAATATATTGTATCTTCATAAACTGCTTACCTAAGGAAAATAATATTATCAATTTAATTAATTCTAAAAACAAAAGAGTAGTTGACCAGAAAAAAAAAATCTGAAAAAAAATAAGTCCATAACAAATAATCAAAGATATAGAATATTAGGACTCTCAGTCAATAACATATCATATCCTACCATGTATAGCATATAAATAAACATTAATCCATATATTCTGAGAAATGAGATATAGTCAACTACTCTATGTTTATAACTTTATATATAGTGAAAGGTTTTGAACTTCGATTTCAGAAGCAGAAAAAAAAACAACAAAAAAAAAGGCAAATCAAAATGACTTCATCAAGCAAACGTACTTTCTTTGCGTTTTTGTGTTTGGCTGCTCTCTTGACTCCATGTATGCAAAAATTAAATTAATTCTCTATTCATATAGTTAAAAATGTGATATGTCACAGGACATTGGGATATTGTATTGTAACAAACCAAAAGAGACTTATATTTTAATGTGATTCTCTGTATGTTTTCATATCATATTTACTAATTTGTTTCCAAAATATAAACTCAGATCATGCGGAAGCTGAAGATAGGAGCAAACTAATTCCCATAGGTCCATGTTCGAAGATTCCGAACTGCAACCAAACATGCATTGAATCACAATTTCTAGGCGGAAAATGCATCAAATGGTATCCGGATTCCACAAAAGAAACATGTGCTTGTTTGGTAAAACCTTCTATAACACATGTTTAAGATATAAATTTACGGGTGTTAAGACTATATTCAACAAAAATGTAGCAAACAAGTTTTTCTAATAATATACTATTACTTTATGATAATTTTATGGATGGAAAACTTTTAATAAAAACAAAAAACTTAACTTGATCCAGATCGATAGCAAATGCATTCTGATTTATATTTTAATAGAAATGTAGACCATTATAAGAACATATTCTGCAACAAATAAGTTGAATTGATGAAACTTTACAATGGAAACCATTTTTGTATAATCACAAAAAAAAAAAAAACTAAAATGGTTTTTTAGTTCGTGATTCAATTTTCACCTGACCCAGGGTTTGTTATGTACTCATTATATCCCAACCCACGCATTTGTAATTTTGTATTCAAGAGAGATAGAGAGCAGTAAATGCACAAAACCTACCTCACGAACAGTATTTTGAATTGCTATGTTCTGTAATAAATACAAAGTTTGACTGTTTGTTTGATTGTTTCCTTTTAAATTGGCACTCACTTATTTCGACTTTACTATTTTCACCTAACCACCCTCAACACGTTTTTGCGAAAATTTTATTAAAATTACTCAATCGTAAAATGTCATGTAAAAAATGCTATGTAAGTGAGTTAACAGTCTGATAAATATTCTGCTTTATTTCTTATTAGTATTATTTTTTTGGTTAATTTTATTACTTCTAAGTTACATCTAACAAATGTCATATAAAAAAACGAGAAAACTCAATTACATCAAGGGTTTAATTTAAACTGTTTAAATTGTTTTAAGTTTACTCATTTGCTTCTTCTTTTTTTTCCGGTCACTCATTTGTTTCTTAAACCTATTTCTTTTGTATTTAGTCGAACTTTAAACAAGTGGAGCCTCGAGGTAGGTTCGAAACACATTTATGTAGAGAGGTTATACTATCAAAATCTATAAATAGAGCTTATAATAATAACGAAAAGTAATCATAGATGTTGCATTAACGCATATAGTGAAACACTCGAAAAAAGTCAAAGTAGATTTTGAAAATGGACCAAGCCATGACACGACAAGACACTAGACTGATTCAAACATACGTTAAAATAGTAACTTAAGACGCACGTTAAACAGGTAATGATAATACCAAAGTTTAAAACCCTAAAGAGATATGATAAATTATTATTATGACATCATCTTAAGCTAGACCTGCCTTAAGGACCGTATGACGCCTTAAAACCAAAGTAACAACTCAAGGGAAATGAACTCCTCCGGTACTTCCTCCACCGGTTCCGGCACCAATTCCACTTCCACCACCTAAGCCACCGCCTAATCCACTGCCTGCTCCACCGCCCAAACCACCTCCTAAGCCCCCACCAAGACCGCCAAATCCCCCATAACCAAGATTACCTCCGGGACCAGCTACACCTCCACCGACGCCACCGAATGGTAAACCATTGTCTCCAACGCCAGAATATCCGCCACCATATCCGAGGTAGTTCTTCTGGTCAGAGAGGCCTACTGGGACGTTTCTTGCACCACAAGCTAAAGCTGAGGCTAGGGCAAAAACCAAGAAGATAGTGAAAAACCACTTCGCCATAGTCAAGAACGGTAATTTTGATTAAAAAAGAAATAGAAAGTAGATAAGATTTAAGTTGATTATATTTGTTGCTTTGCCCAAAATCTGGGAGATATGTTGGGTCCTTTTAAAGGCCAAGCGATACCACATGCAATAAAACCGACCGGTGTAGATAGTTAATGCCAATTGTAAATGCTATAACCAAACGCTCTGATATCAACTTTAAGTTTATATTTACTTTCTGAAAAAGAACTGGTTGTGACGCGGTAACTAACGTTCCGCTCCTGCTGCTCAAGTTGTTGAGCTGGTCAAACAATGTTGTTAAAATGTTAAACGATATATTAGAATGGTAATATATAGTTCTAATTTTGTTAGTATATAATAGAGTTTGATGATTGACAAAAATTTCATAGGCAATTTTTTGTAACAAAAAAAAAGACTCGTGTTTTACAATGTTGAGAGCTAACTTCAGCTTCAAAAGAGGCTTCTCTTTTGGAACTACACATTTACCTATTGGCTATTTTTATTGGTGGTTGTAACTAAATTTCTGTCATTCATGGAAATAAAATCCAATGATAACATATAGAACCGTGCCTACTTTAACATAGGTCGTCTAAGTGATTTAAAGAAAAATTCTCGAAAATATAAATTCAGTTTACAAACAATGTTTGTCGGAAAGATTATTTTATCTTAATTTTGTTTTAACATTTCATTTGACTTTAATTAGTTTATATCTTTGACGATAAGCTCGGAGACTTTTGTTGGAACTAAAAGAAAACATTTTTACAATGGAAATGGTTTCCCAAAGTGAAAGTGGCAAATTTGTTTTTCAAAAACAGACACTAGACCAATATTTCTTACCGTATATGTCTATAATAATGTTTTCTTTGTCAACATGTCTATATACTATATACAATATATCAAAATACACCGATACGAATATAATTATATATTTTTACTGCATTCATGTAATAATTGTAATATATGTCTCATGGGCCTTGTATAGTTTGAACTTCCACCGTATAGACCCTTTAACAAAACAGATAAACCAATACAACTACACCGACGATTTTGAAGAATGTCTAATAGTCTGTTGACAGTATTGCACTTTTTTTTCCTCCTCTGTGAAACTGTTTGAATAAGATTCAGTTAGATTAAGTTAGGAATAAAATACAAAATTTCAACAATATTTGTTGTGCACTGTCGTCCACAACATGTATTAAACTGCTTAAATATAACACTTTCACGTATATGATTAGTTTTGTTAACCTAATCTCGTTTGATTGGCAAAAAAACAAAATCGTTCATACTGGTGTTTTGTTAATTAATCTACAAAGCTAATATCTGTTTTCTTTACATTGTAACTGTCACGATGAAACAAGATTTCTTTTTTCCCTGATAACTTTTACAGATGAGATTAAGTTTGCTGCATGCAAAATTGCAAGTAATTTAATATCTTGGAGCACAAGCAAGTAACACGAAAAAAAACACTATTTATTGATAACACAAGGTTTCTCACAAGTAATCAATACTAACAAACAGCATAACAAAAAAAAGAAACATATATAGAAAACAAACAACGACTTAGACATAAACATCGATAAAAGAACTTAAAACATAATAATTATGAACCTTTCGAGTTTCGACCGATCTTTGGTTTATAGAAAGAAAAAAAAAAACAAACGTTTAACATCAATGGTGTGGAATTACGCCACCGCAATCGCTTCCACCGCCAACTCCACCCAAACCACCAACACCGCCTAGACCACCTGCACCGCCTAGTCCACCGATACCACTACCAATACCAGGGTCACCACCAATTCCACCTACTCCATGACCAAGACCTGAACCACCACCTAGACCACCTACACCGCCAAGACCACCTACACCACCGCCAAGACCACCTACACCACCGCCTAGACCACCAATTCCGCCGCCTACACCGCCAACAGGCAAAAATCCGGCAACACCACCAACTCCACCGGCAACACCACCAAGACCAGCTCCAACACCACCAGCTCCACCAATTCCAGCAGCTCCCCCGACACCAGCGAACGCCCCAAAGGTCTTTTGGTCGTCAAGACCAGCTCCGACATTCTTGTCTGGAACCGGTCTTGTTGCGGTGACTGCTTGAGCCACCATGAAAGCAACGAGGAACACGGATAAACACCTAATTGCCATCTCTTCTATTTTTGTAACTTAACACTCTAGTGTTTTTGTTTAGTGGAGAGAGTAGTGAAGAGAGTTAAGTACTTCGGGAGGTTTATATAGAAGAGTGAAGGGTTAAAATTAGGGTTAGAGAGTGACAGATGGATATGTTATAAATGAATGTTGGACCATCTCATCTCCTATATGTTCGATGCAGATCCCTCCACGTCAAGAGTTACATTTTACTTCTCTTATGTATACATAAAATTAAAATCCATTTTGTTCTCTTGTAAATTACTGACATTAGTTAGAAGTTAATTTCGACATGATATATATATGCACGTTGTAATGTTCTGTCATCTTCTATAGTATGTCTATAAATTTATTCGGTAAATTTCTGGCATATGGATTTATTCATCGGTTACTGTCTCTAAGTCTCTAACCCGTCGCGTCGATGGATTGTTGGTGGTAGGTAGGGTTACCAAATGGACTGGAGATTATATAATGAGATGAATTCAACAGATAAAAAGTAGTCGAAACGTTTTTTCATGCAATTTTGATTGTATTAGTTTTTTCTTTTAAAATAAAAAATTTAGAGTTAAGAGATGTAAAGTTCATTTTCCTGCCTCACTATTTTTGGTTAAGTAATAAAATGGCGCTCATGAGAATTTACCCACCAAAAGACTCGACTCACATTTTGTTTCTCCATATTGATACGCACACCTATTTTTCCGTCAGTTCACGTACGTATAGTATACCTCAAATTAAAATGCTCAAAATCAGTATTCACAATCCAAACTCTATAAACTTGTGACTAAAAATATAGAAATAAACCGAAAATGTAAGTATAAATAGCACCTTATTAATGTACATATATGTATACAATACAAGTGCAATAAATGAGAGCATGCTTAGCATGTGGCTGCGCCCAAAGGCCAAAGTTAGTAGAGCATGTAAATGCATTAAATTGACAGGTTGGAAGACAACAAGATTAATATCGAGATTAAAAAAATCTTTCAAATTCATAAAGTAAGTAGTTTTTCTCGAGAAATCATGATGTAATTAATATTAATACAAGATTCGAAGCCTCGTAAGTTAATTGGTGATTCCTTAAGAAAATTGTTTGCTAAGCAAGAAGATGAAGAAAACAAATCAGATGTGATATTTTTATTAGAGTTCTACAATAGTCGAGTAGATGTATTAAGTATAAATTGATCTATGTCTTATTTTGTAGCTCATTCATCACAAGTACTTAGGTATACACTCCATGTTCAAAATCTTGTTGAACGAGTCGAGATATCTAAGTTATTCATAACTAATATATACACACCCTAAGACCTGGAATATAAATTGTCACTGGAAATTAAATGATCACGAGATTTCGATCAGAAGCAATATTATTCTATCCAAGGCATTATATGCATCTCTGCGATATTAAGAATGACAGCTGAAGCCAGTGAAAATAGTTGTTCGTTGGGCCTTTCTTGTAGTTCACTTATTTCACCTCTATTAATGCTATTTTGTCCTCATATCAAAACATATTCATATACTATAGACTATATAGTCTGTCTCTTCTCTTGGGATTAGTACTCGTAAATTATATGAAGCTTTAACTTAAAATTACTTTACATATATACTGTGGTACAGCTAAGAATATAGCGTAATTGGGTTGATATTTAGTTTTTGATTTGGCTCGGCTCTATTTTTGATCGGTTTGCAGAAAATGGTATCGGATTTAAACCGAATTTCATCTACAATAAAACCATTTTAGTCATTTTGTCCAATCATTAGGCCAAAATCGTTCAACACAAAACAAAAGATAGTTGATCTTACACTAATTACTGAATATACCAATTTAAAATTTCAAACCAACAAATATTAGTGGACCATTTCATATAATCAAACAGTATGTTTTTGTCATGGTACATACTACATTCGGAGAAAACCATAAATACTTGTGCATATCCTTGGTTTGGTTCTGGTTTAGATTTGCTGAAATTTTGGTACATTAACTGTTGTATAAGATCAAAATCGTTCTGAATAAAATTTTCACGTAAATATAATGTTAGGTTTGATTCTTCTTAATTGTGACTATTTTTCTTTACTTCCTTGCCAATGTTTACTATTTTTTTTTCACAAAATTATCTTATAAAGAAAATTGTAAATCATTACAATAGTTTGTGATTTACTTTAATAAAATGAGAGAATTTTTGTTGTAAATAATTGAATTAAGAAGATGGGCCCATACATGGGCTCAAAATACTTCTCGATGTAGTCTCAAATGGTTTGAAGTTTGAGTAGTACCATAACCGGTAAAAGTTGAAAATACCGGTTATATCAATACGGCCTTGTTAGCCTACAAGATTTGGTTGCTTATGAATAAAAATGACGAAACAAGTTAGGAAAGAGATATCGATCACGTTACATATATGTAAACTCCTGATTTATCAAATGACCCCAATTATAACAAAACCAGATCTTTATCCAATTTTGTCACTCACCGAACGCTAAAGTTTTCATTTTTCAATCTCATCACAGAGAAAAACTAAGCTATGGCGAAGAAGATTGGAGTGACGATGGAAGTTGGGAACGATGGTGTTGCTGTCATCACCATTTCTAATCCTCCTGTTAACTCTTTGGCCAGTCCAAGTATATAAAGCTTTAATTTTTATATGAGATTGATTAGATCATTGACGATTTTTATCTGGAATTGATTTGGTTTAAGCTGATTTTGATCTTGTTTGTTGGTTTGAATTCTCAGTTATTTCTGGGTTGAAGGAGAAGTTTCGTGACGCCAATCAAAGGAATGATGTTAAGGCCATCGTATTGACCGGTAAATTTTTGTTTAGATTTCTCATGTTTTGAAGGATTTTATTTGATCTTGTAGCTAGAGATTCTGAAATTGTAAACTATTGTATTGAAGGGATGGAAAGTTTAATCCTTTTCTTATCGTAGTTTGTTGTTGCTTATGGTGTTTGAATAATTGTGTCATTGCAGGGAACAATGGAAGATTTTCGGGTGGTTTTGATATCAATGTCTTCCAGCATGTTCATAAGACTGGTAAAAGTTTCTTCTGTTGTAGTATTTTTTTATATAGTGTAACATATTGGTGTCATGGGTTTGAGAATCTTGTTTATTGGCAGGGGATTTATCGCTTATGCCTGAAGTATCTGTTGAGCTCGTGTGTAACCTGATGGAAGGTATTTTAGCTTCATTTTAGTTTCAGATTATTTATTCTTTCAAGGTTGGTGTATTTCTCAATAAGATGGACTGCAACTATCGCTATGATGTGATGCTGTTATCTGGTTATCACAGACTCTAGGAAGCCGCTTGTTGCCGCAGTTGAAGGATTAGCTCTTGGTGGTGGTTTGGAACTTGCAATGGTGGGATTTTTCAGTTTGTTTCCCTTTGTGCTTTCTTAAGTGTCTTTTGATTTTCTTATCTAATTTGTGTTGATTTTTCTGTCTCTTACTCACTTGAAATTCTTTAGGCTTGTCATGCCCGAGTTGCTGCTCCGAAAGCTCAACTAGGCTTACCAGAATTGACTCTTGGAGTGATTCCAGGTTTTGGAGGTATGGATTTGTTTTTTCAGCTACGTCTTCTTTTAAATGAATGCGATACTTTTTTTCTGCTAGTTATTGTTTATCAATAGATATGTAAATAATTAAGCTAATTGTGTCTATGAAGGAACCCAACGTCTTCCAAGGTTAGTAGGCCTTGCAAAAGCAACGGATATGATACTGGTAAGGATGACATTTTCCGCAGTTACCAAAAGTTTTATTACCATGTTTTTGAAAAATGATTTACTTGGCTGAAAATTGTGCTAAACCATATGCTGGTATTTTGGTAGCTTTCGAAGTCAATATCGTCAGAAGAGGGGCAGAAACTGGGTCTCATTGATGCCTTGGTGCCACCTGGAGATGTGTTGAGCACGTCCAGAAAGTGGGCTCTAGACATTGCAGATGGACGTAAACCCTTTTTGCGCTCTCTGCACAGGACCGACAAAATTGGTTCTTTATCTGAAGCTCGTGCTATATTGAAGAATTCAAGACAGCTAGCCAAGAAGATAGCCCCAAATATGCCTCAGCACCATGCTTGCATTGAAGTGATTGAAGAAGGAATCGTCCATGGAGGATACAGTGGGGTTCTTAAGGTATCTTTAGGATTTCGACGTTTACTGTATTTCTCACTTTTACTGAATTTCTTCAATAGCTTTGACATAGATCATTTGCTGCTCGTTGGTGCTCATTCGACTTTTTTAATTAGGGAATCATGACTGCTTTATTTCACAAAAATCTATCCATTCCTTAGGTTGATTACTTGCGGTAATTTTCTAGTTGGCTATGTACCTAAACTCTTTGATTCGCAGGAAGCAGAAGTTTTCAAGCAACTAGTACTGTCAGACACTGCAAAGGGTCTTGTTCATGTTTTCTTCGCACAACGTGCAACATCAAAAGTGAGATTGGCATATATTGTGTCTGTTTCTCCTAGTATTTGTAGTTTTCACATTTAGTGTTCATCCTGAGCATCTCTTAAAACACTTTTCAGGTGCCTAATGTAACTGACGTTGGATTGAAACCGAGGCCGATAAAAAAAGTTGCAGTTATTGGTGGAGGTCTGATGGGTTCTGGCATCGCTACGGCTCTACTTCTAAGCAATATAAGAGTTGTGCTCAAAGAAATAAATTCAGAATACCTTATGAAGGGAATAAAATCAGTTGAAGGTTATTATCTTAGCCATAACATATCCAGTTGCTATCTATCTAGGTCGCATACCAAAAGTTAGAGCTATCTATCTTGCTATCTTAGCCATAACATACGTTGAGCCAGCTCAAAATCGTTCTTCATAAACATTGGTTGCATAATAAAAAGGTTCTCTTAGATGCAGTGTTATATATGGTAGTATGCAGCCCTAAGAAATTAGAAAAGTGTACAGACACTTCAGTGAGTTGTTTTAAGACAAAAGAAGCATCCATAACATATGATGGGATGATAAAATATATGATTTATTACTATTCCTGTTACAGTGAGTAGATGCAATAAAGTTAGTTTTTTCTTGTGACAGCAAATATCAAAGGCTTGGTATCTAGGGGGAAACTGACACAAGATAAAGCAGGAAAGGCCCTCTCTTTGTTCAAGGGAGTACTCGATTACACAGAATTCAAAGATGTGGACATGGTCATAGAGGTCTGCCTTCAATTTCAGCTATCTGCTTTGGTGTTATTTGTCGTTCTCTTTTGTTTTAACTTTCAAGTATATCCAAATCTAGATAGTTCGAAGAGAGGGACAACTAGTATATATGTCTTCTTACTATAAGGCCTTGCTCCTGGTATCATTTTTCAGGCAGTGATTGAAAACATTCAGTTGAAACAAAACATATTCAAAGAAATCGAAAAGGTTTGTTCACCCCATTGCATTTTGGCGAGTAATACATCTACTATCGACCTCGACGTAATTGGGGAAAAGACTAACTCAAAAGATCGCATTGTTGGCGCACATTTCTTCAGGTCATTCTGTGTTTCCAATGCCTCAGGATTTTTATGCTCTTTTCCTATTTTTAATGTAATTTACAAAGGTTTGTCTTTTTATAGCCCGGCCCATCTGATGACCCTTCTCGAGATTGTTCGTTCAAAGAATACTTCTGCTCAGGTGATTCTGGATCTCATGGCGGTTGGAAAGGCCATAAAGAAAGTTCCTGTGGTGGTTGGAAACTGCATAGGCTTTGCAGTGAATAGGACATTCTTTCCGTATACACAAGCTGCACATATGTTGGCCAATCTAGGTGTTGACTTGTTCAGAATTGACAGCGTTATTACCTCTTTCGGCTTGCCGTTGGGCCCTTTCCAGTAAGTCTCTCCCTCCAAATTTTGTTACCTATGATTTTGTGTGTGTCCTTATGTGTGTCAGTGTGTGTATATGTTGCTGTATGGCTATCTCAGCAACTGAAGAAAGCTTTATTTTTTTGAATGACTCACTTCTCAGGCTTGGTGATTTGGCTGGACACGGGATTGGATTAGCAGTTGGGCCGATATATGCCAAAGTCTATGGTGACCGCATGTTCAGATCTCCAATGACCGAGCTTCTTCTTAAGAGCGGGCGAAATGGTATGTCATTGCTCGTACCTTATGAAATTCCTAATGTGATCACTTTTAACATTTGTGGCTTCAGGAAAAATCAACGGGAAAGGATACTATATATACGAAAAGGGAAGCAAACCAAAACCCGATCCATCAGTTCTTTCAATTGTTGAGGAATCGAGGAAACTGACCAATATCATGCCTGGTGGGAAGGTAAATAGAAAAAGAGGTCTTACGAAATATAAGTAGTGCTTTGGTATTTTTAAATTAATGCAGTATTGTCCTTCATTTGCAGCCTATATCAGTATCTGACAAAGAAATTGTAGAGATGATCTTATTCCCTGTGGTTAACGAGGCATGCCGTGTCCTAGATGAAGGAGTTGTTATCCGAGCCTCAGACTTGGACATTGCGTCTGTCCTTGGAATGAGTTTTCCTTCTTACCGGTGAGGATTCTAAGTCATAATCTCCATCAAGCAAAAGGAAGCTTCTTGTGAAATTCTGGAAATTCATTGCCTCTGATCATTTACTTACATTCACAATATCCACAAACCTTTTCCTTTCTTTTGTTTGTCACTAAGATTTGTGGTGATGATCATTTCTTGTGTTAAGCAATTTTTTTTACCTGTTGCAGTGGGGGAATTGTTTTCTGGGCAGACACAGTTGGACCAAAGTACATATATGAAAGGCTCAAGAGATTGTCGGAGACTTACGGCAGCTTTTTCAAACCGTCGAGGTATCTGGAGGAAAGAGCAATAAATGGAATGCTTTTGGTAAAGTTTCTCAACTTTCTTTTACATTTTATGATGTGGCAAGAAAACACAGTACCAACCAAGTTCTCTCTAATTGACAAATCGATTTATATGAGAATAAAATTTAGGTTTGATTCATCTGCTGCAAGGGACCTGTTAACATTAGATTTTGGGTTTAGAACTGTTTTTGTAGTTTGGCTAGAACAAAAAATTTCTGCGTAAAGTTTTGAGTAATCAATTGATGGTAATTACTAGATCTAAGAAGTAAATGTTTCCAAGCTTACGACTGCAGTACTAGTTCGGTTATAGTCGATTTATCCATGATGAAACTTTCGGTTTTGGGTGCAGAGTGAATCGAAATCGTCGAGGTCTCGATTGTGAAGCGTTTGAACAAGTTTATGCAGGAGAGGCTGAAGGTGTTAGTCAAATGAGAATAAATCAGTCTCTCTTATTGTTTCAAAGTTAAAATGCTATTAAGGTGTTTGTTGTTAACACTTAAAGAAACAAATTTTATGCTCTTAATAAATGTTTGTAGTGATGTCATTGTCATTCTCATATATAAGAAAATATTGGAATTACTAACCCCAAAGTATTATGATTTGTTTTAGTCAGGAAGAAAATATAGAGAAATTTACATCGTTTATCAAATTAGGGATTTATTATATATTACTTTCAAATCCTACAGAAGCTGATTGAGAAACATCTCAGATCATCATAATCAGACACAGTAAACAAGGATGTCCCACAGCTAAACCATCAACAGAAAAAGTAATACTGAACACAAAAAAACTAACAAAAAACTCGTGTAGTAAAAGAAACAAAGCTCTCCAAAATCTACAACAGCCACAGGGGCTTTAAAGAGGAGACTTTATAAGAAAAGAAAGAGAAAAGTGAGAAGAAAGCTTAACGACACAATAAAAGCTTGTGTCTATTACTCTCTCTAATCACTTGCCAATGCGCTGAAGCCGCAACAACTGCCAGTGAGAAAGAAAAATTATGGTGGCATTACCTGATAAAATAGGGCAGTCGTGAGGCAGATTTCAGCTTGTTCTCTCTGGTAAGTTATTTTCTGTCCTAAGTAGAGTATAATCTATCTGATTCAGGGGTCTTTCTTCTCGGATAAAGCTGGAGGTTTATGAAGATGAGTGTTTGTTGCTGCTGCTGCTGCTGCTGCTGCTGCTGATGTTGTGTTTATCAGCTGCATAGGCTGCGGTTTGTTGAGTGTAGGTTGAGAATTGGTTCGCGAAGCTCCATTCACAATTGGTACTTGCTGTTGAACCCCATTCTCGGTTTTCACAGTCACGGTTGCAGGTGGCTGTATGTGCATTCTTGCTAAAGATAAACACTTTGTTTCTGCAATCCAACGGAACTAACTTTAGAGAAGATAGTTTCTTGATGAAATGTGGGTGAAACACAAATTATTTTACCTTTTATTTCTGCGTAAGAGATAAGTCGACTAAGGCAATCTCTGAATTTGGTTAATACCACTCTCTCCTGCTCTGCGTAAATCTCTGACTGGCCCTGTGAGTTCGTTCTGCAGCCACCGGGGTCAACTGAACCATTAGGTGAAGGTGCTGCCACCATGAAGATAGTGTCTTGTTCGTCGCACATCAAAGCCAAAGTTGCTGGAGATAGTGGATTCCCTTTCGAGGCATCGGCACCATCTGAGTTGGATTCCTCTGGTCCAGATTTATCAGCTTGATTCCCATCAGTTGCAACCATCTCCACATCAGCTGCATCGTTATTGCCTTGGGGCTGATCTTGTGCAGAAGAAGCTAAAGAAGTTTCTGTTTGATCTTCCACCCGATTTTCTATTTCATTTCTTTTATCTGAGAAGATTTTAAAGGAAGATCAGTGAATAGTACATAATATATAGAGCTAAAACCTCATCAATACAAAGTTTTAACTCAAAGTCTCACCTGTTGATGTCTTTGCTGCTTCTCCGGCTACAGCGACTAAAACAGAGCAAAGTGCTTTCACATCATGCGGTTGGATTATATCTGCTAAAAGGGACCTTAAAAAACAAAAAACATACAAGTCAGTTTTACACAGCTCTTGGATCAAGCTAAATAACTTGTGAACACCAGAAATTTCACCTATATACAAACTTTGATGGAGCTGACGATGCATTGCCACCAGCACGAGAAACAGGTGACGGAGATGTGCCTGAGGTTGGTCCACTAGTTCTTCCATTATTTACCTAGATACAAATAATAAGATTTCAATTCACTAAGCCAACAGCAAGACAAAAAGATATTTCAGTTCTATAAATGGTTACCAAAAAGCATATAAATGCTAAAATGGTAAATTGGAACCTGTGGAAACTGGCCAAGTCTAGATGAATCTTTGGTTGCTTGGTTGAACAAAATCTCTTGACCTTTCCTTCTCTTAGGTGCTGGAGAAGGAGCAAAGCCGGAGGAACCAACAGCTCCAGTAATGGCTGCATTTGCTGCTTGTTGAAGATAAGCCATGTGGTTGGCATGTTCACCGTGAAACAGAGCTTGTCTCTCTTCACTTCCTTCAAAGTTTTTGCAATCCAAGCATTTGCAGTTCTCAGAACAAAGAATGTTTGCTTGAAAGCACTCACAATACTTCTTAAGGCATCCCGATTTCTTGCAGTGGCATCCTTTGTTATGTTTCCCTAACAACACAACTTCACCAATGTCCTCCTGCAAAGACAAATCAACAGTTTAAACATCCCACAATAACTTAGAAGTTTAAAGAACCCTCCCACGATATAAAACAAGTTTATCGGGTCACATACCCTTTTATCCCGCACACCATGTGGACTGCTAGCAATTTTAGGCCTGAACGCAAATGGATTCCGCTCCAGAGTTGCTTCCACAGCTTCTCGTCTTGCAGGTTCATTATCAACATTGTTGAAACAATTTACACAGTTACAACCGTCACAATATGTTCCGGATGCAAAGCATTCACAGTACCTGACAAGATAGTGCACAAATTCACAATTAACAACAAAAATTGGTAAACTCAAAAAAGCAGAAAAAAGGAAAAGATATGAACATGCAATCACACAGACATGTCACCAGGAAACTAAATAAACTACAACATAACAAAATTTGATGAATGACAATCCCTAAACAAGAATGGGAAGACTTACAGTTTCAAGCAGCGTGAGTGTTTACAGTTACACTGCTTCTTCTTCTGAGGAGTTCCATCTCTACCTTCCACAATAGGCCTTGGACCTCTAGCTTTTGGAGATTCCGGTTTTCTACAAAAGAAAATGAAGAAAAATTTGAAATTTTCATAAAACCTTCGTTAAGCTTTATCCAATTAGTTTCACCAATTTATCTAAAAAGATTAAACTTTAAACCAATTACATCATCCCAAATCAAACATGTACAAACTCAATTGAGTTAAGATTACGCATGACTACAATTTCCCAACCCAAACACCCAAAGTTTGAATTTTTCATCAAATGAAGCTCAATTGATAAAACTTACGGATGCCTGATTGGCGCGTTAAGGATTTGTGATTGTGACGGCGGATTTGACGTCGTCGCCATTGGTAACGTCGGTCGTACCTGACCGATTGCAATGGTCACACCCGGCCGTATCGTCGAAGGGATGGAGCTAGTAACAACGACGGGTTTCACCGCCGTAGCTACGACGGTAGAAGCCGCTGCTTTAGACAGTGATTGTTCATCAGAGCCACCAGTGAAGTCAAGCTGTCTTGCTGGCTTCTTCGTCGGAAAACCCTCTTCAACACCATCCTTTTTTGGCGGGAATTCGCCTCCTCCGCCGTCTTCACCCATCTCTCAAAGATATTCAAATCTCGAATTTTTCAAACAAAAAAAAAACCCAGAAATTTTCCTTTTTTCCCACAGTACCGCGAAAATAACGAGAAATTCCCAGAAATCAGCTCGAAAAATCCAGATCCGAATCTCGCCGGAGCGAGAAAATCACAAACCGATTCGGCGGCTGTTAAAAAAAGCTCAAAAACTGAGACTTTGAATTTGATCCGCGTATATAGAGAGAGAAAAGGGATAAGCTTTAAGAGAGATGAGAATTAGGGTTCTATTGGGTTTTAGCTCTTGAAGAAGAAGAAGACGAAGAAGAAGAAGAAGCCCTCAGAGGAATTTGGTGAAATTAAAAACGAAAAATTAAAAGCAAAAAATACTTTCGGTTTTGTTCTTCTTCTTCTCTCACACCATCTCTCCTCCTCCCTCTCTCTAACATGTTTTGAAATTTCAATTTTCTGGATTATATTCGACGGTTGGATTTGCGTGACAATCGCATCGTACGGTTCTTGTTAGATACGATGATCCAACGATGTCAATTCATAAATGCTTTAGGTTTTGTCCTCTTTCCACCGTCCGATCTACGCGGAAGTAAATACCCAAAAAGCCCTTTTAATATGCGTGTATTTAGATTTCAGCGAATAGTAAACTGACACGTAGATAGACCACTCGTGAGCTCATAGTATAGTACTATGCACCTTCTCAAGCGGAAGCCGAAACGAAAGGGGGTCTTTTAAGAAGAAGCGTATTTTTATTTTTGCCCCGAAACTTTCTTTAATTACGAAAGAGCACCAAAATTGCTTTTCATTTTTTTTGGTTTTTGCACTAATGGCACAAAAGTTTTCAAAATTAGAAGAAAGAATCTAAGGTGTAATACAAGGTCACATTTGATTTCCGGGAAAATTTTAACTGTCTAAACCAAATTCCCAAGACATGCACAGTTTTTGCATCAGTAAGAGTTTCCCATTCTGCCTCTGCCGCCACGCCGATCATCTCGTCTTCCTCTGTCAAAGTTACTGTCACGGCGGTAATCTCTGTGCGGCGGTGGACCGCCTCCTCTCATTGGTGCCGGTGGACCATCTCGCAATGGCGGTGGTGGAACATCTCTCAATGGCGGTGATCTGCTCCTCTCTCTTGAAAGTCGTCCCCATCTGCCACCACGAGGTGGAGGATGCGGTGGACTGAGAGGTGGTCGTCTGTCGTAATGAGGTTTTGGGAGCGGCTCTGTATGGGCCCAGTCAGACGCTATTCTTCTGCTAGGAGGGTACTCATGGTCTGAGTAATGCGGACGGTCTCGTTCTCTGTCTCTCCAAGTGGGATGGTCATGCCTTGAGGGCGGGTAGTCTCTGGGCCAGCCACGTGGAGGAGATCTGCAGCCATTAAAGTCTCTTCTTGGGGAGAGATTCATGGGAGGAGGAAGACGAGGCAGTGGAGGACTATTAGCCGGTGCATAACGGTGCCTCTTGCATTTGTTGCAGGACTCACGTCTCGCAAAGTTCAAGTTTCTGCATCTGTATTCATGACAAAACAAATCATACGAGATTTAGAAACTTCTGTAGATTTTGAGATATGGATAACAAACTTCTGTAGAATCGCCAAGGATACTTACAATGGATCTAGACAGTACCAATCTCCATCTCTTGGTTGCACCTTTGGGATATTATTTCTGCTCATGCCATCGCTTCCATGTGCAGGTTCAAACCCATCTAAACCTCTTCCATAAGGACGAGCACCAGCTCCACCTCTAGCATAGGGTGGTGAATAGTCTCTGTGTCTCCCAGATGCTTCCCTTCTGCTGCTGAACTCACGGCCACGAGGTGGAGCGCCTGAATGATTAAGATCAGAGCCATGCCGGTGATCTTCATATCCACGACGGCCTGGTGAGCTAGAACTTGCCCGAGTTCTATGCCCTACACACAAACACACAAGTGTATATCAGCAGACAGCAAAGTTCAAAATAGTGGAACACTGACACTAGGAAATTACAAGTCCGTGGGTGTCAGCATTCTCAGTGCATATACCAAACAATTTTCTGAACAAGAAATGTTGAAATGCATCTGTAGCAATGTAAAATCTCAACAATACCCTAAGTGTCACTAAACTCTTAAATATACATTCCATAAAGCATCTGTAGCAATTGAGATTCTGGATCATCAACAGACCACACAAAACAGAAACCTGACCCAAACCATTCCGGCTAAACATTTCTTCTACAAGACCAGACCTAAGTACTTACACGCAAAATACATTTGCAACTTACAGAGCATTGTTATTGTGGCGTTATATAATAAAAGTATAAGAGAGTAGTATCACTAAATGCTCACGAAATAACTACACACGATTGCCCTCATCGGAATCACAAGTCAAAGGATAGAGAAAACATTGATTACGAGGTACACAATCACAAACATGTGTAATGAAAGAAACAAGTGATGCCTACTTAAGTTCTGTTCTTCCGTTCCCCAATTTCAGAAATCGAAACCAATAACGAGAAGAGAAGAAACTCAGCAGAAAAGATGACTGGAATGTTTAGAAGAGATACGAACCACCATTGTCACCCTTATACCGATCCGAGCGAGTATATGAAGGCCGGTCACGAGAAACTTCTCCGGGCTCATAGTCTCCGGCGGCGGCGGCGACGTTGCGGCCGTCTTCTCCGTCATTGCTTCCGGAGGGTCGTACGACGAGACTGCTGATGTGAGGCGGGTGATGCTGCGTCGTCTGATTTTTTTCAGTCGACCCCATTTCTTTCTCTCCGATTGTGTCAAAACTCACTCCTGGAATCTCTCGATGTCCGTTTCAGAAAAAAACCCTAGGGGAAGACTTGGCGATAGATGCTGGTAACTGTTATTAATTTATCTTTTGGTCTATCAACGTTTGTCTAATTTTCAAAATAGCCCCTTAAGTTTTATATTTAACATGTTGGACTAGTATAGGTGAATGACTGATTCATGGAGTGGTTCTGATTTTCTTCTTTTTATAGTAAACAACAGTTCATATTTCTGGAAGAATCAGACTCAGTTATGATTTTTGTGTGCGCTATTTTTGGTATTTATGATATCAGTTTGATTATGTAATTTGGTTAACTGAAAGAAATTCTCTTTAGCAAAAACTCGATGACAAGTAGGATTGGCTTTATTCCATGGTCTCATTATTGAAGGGTTGCTCTCATTCACCACTGACGACAATAAGCAGATAAATACAAGATCAATTATAGAAACTGTGAAGAAATACAGAATCCTAGGATGCAAAACTCGAGTAAATATAGATTTTTATTCGTTTTCATTGTTACTTCAGATGAAAAATAGGGTAAAGATTGGCCTGGGCAACAAAAAAACTAGCTCTTTAGCTATAGCTAAAGGCTAACACCAACTTCCGAATGTAAATGTTACCATTTTCTATACGAGAGAGGGAGAGAGAGCGAGGAACAACACACAACACAATTTTGACAAAGTAGGCGAATTCAGGGAAAGTCGGAAGGATCAAGATGCTCAACCATATACCCAGCCAATGTAACCGATCTGACAAGGAGAGATAAACACATGAAACTGAGATCAGTGAGAGAAACAAGGCGCAGAAAACAGAGTTGTGAGAGAATAAAGTAACAAACAAATTTCAAAAGTTTTTGCCGCCATTGTTCCCTAAACAATATGTCCTAACAAACAGTTTTCTTAGCGGTATGCTGTAACAAGATCTTCAGACAACAATGATTGGTTGCATCAATCAAGATCTAAAGCAAACACCTGTCAGGTTTTGGTAAATACTCATGTCTCTGAAGAAAAAAGAGGCAAGACGATATGACTGATTTGTGTGTTTAAGCGAGCCAGAGCTTTTGAAGGGGTACCTTAAATACCAGGGTCAGGGGAATTCTATTGTAAATCCACTACTGGTAGACTTTACATTCATGGGTCCAAAGCCGTCAAAATCAGAATCTGAATCCATTTCTCTGTAATCATTCCACTTTCGTGGAGAATCCTCATCTGGCCCACTCCTTGTCGGAGGCACATAGAGCTCTGAAACTGGAACTGGAAGAGGCTCTTCGATGAAATACTTGTCATTCAGCATCTCCATAGCAGTAGCTCTACTAGCTGGATCATAACAGAGAAGCTTCTTGAGCAGCGATATCACATCCCCTGAATGGTTGGGAAGACAACCTTCTATACCAAGAGGAGATTCTACTTTGGCAAATGAGATTGACTTGTAGTCTGGAAGATCGACACAACCAGGCCAAACCTCTTCATTTAAATTTCCCAGCACATTGGTCACTCTGCTGATCTGATCAATATCTGAAATTCCTGGGAACAAAGGCTCCAGAGACAAGAGTTCTGCAAACACACAACCAAGGGACCATAGATCGACCTCTAACCCATACATCGTAGATCCATAGAGCAGTTCTGGTGGCCTAAACCATCGGGTTCCCACACAAGATGTCATCAAACCTTGTGTATCATCCACTGCTTCATCAGCATCATAAGAAAAAGAGTTCCTACCGAGATCATCATCCATTTCACTAACAGTGCACGTTGCAAGACAAGATATATCTCCATCATGCACATTCGAGTCCTTATCAGTATCATCTCTAACAACCTGTTTAGCCTTGAGTTCTTCCACCTGTCGGAAGTATTCGTCTTTACTCATCGCTACCCGTTCCTGACCATCAGACCCTTGCCGAGGTGAGTTCTCATAATCAGGAATAACTTCTGGTGGTTCTGTGCTAGTTTCTCCATCTTTGTCTTCCAGTTTATAAACCTGTTGGTTTTCATCTGAAGCTACAATATCAGGCTCCATAAGTATCCTAGCCTGTAAACAAGCCAAGAAGCCAACACACATTTACACACTAAATGATAACACTAGCTAATGAAATAACAAACAATCAGTAACATTCATAATCACCTGACCAAAATCAGCAAGCTTAAGCACTCCATCATCAGAAATCAACATATTCCCAGGCTTTAAATCTCTATGCACAATCAAATTCCTATGACAATCATCAACACCGGTTAAAATCTGAATCATCCATCTCTTAATCTCCCCAACAGAGAATCCATCTCCTCCTTCTACCTTCTTCTTCCTCTTAGCATCACGGATCACCGCAGCGAGATCTGACCTAAGAAACTCAAGTACAAGCACGGCGTTCTCGTCCTCACGCCAGAAGTATTCGTGCATAACGACGATATTAGGAGATCCATTGAGGATGGTGAGCGCGTCAATTTCTCGAAACGCAGACTGGTAATCGAAAATCTCCTTGAGGGCGACGATGAGTCCGTCGGAGAGACGGCGAGCTCTGTAAACATCGGCGTAAGCGCCGGATCCGACTCGCTCGAAGATCTCGTACTTGGCGATTATCTCCGGCCGGGTATGGATACTCCAGCTGCTCGCCGGTTGTTTATCCATCTCTTTGAAACGGCGTCGTTTTCTTACGGATCTTTCCTGATGATGATAAACATAACGCTAACGAATTCTCCAGTTTAAAATCCCGTTCTCATGTTGTAATGACTAAAATGCCCTTACAAGTTTTTTTTTTTTTTTGCTTTGTAAATGAGTGAAAATTGGGGACCAATTATCTAATTTATTAGTATCTGCTATGTTACTGTGTGCATTAAATATTTATATTTATGAACATTGTGTACATTATTCGCATAATTGAACGCTATTATATGGAGATGGTCATCTCAATTTATTTTGTTAGATCCTGACTTGCTTCAATTAGTAGACCTTATTTATTGTAGATCTGATAGAATTATTGTAAGACTTTTGGTTCCATTTCGGTTTAATTTGGTTTTACTGCATGATTAAAAAGAACAGAATTTAAGAATTCCAAATTTGCTAAAAGATCCAAAACTTGTTAACAAGAGAAGAATGTTACAGAATCTGCAAATCTACACAACCAAAAACAGAGAAAGGAGCTTCTTCACATACAAATAAGAGAACCAACAGTTCCCTTATCTTCACAGTTGGAGAGTTTCAACCTAAGAACCATAAAAAAAAAACAACCATAGAAAGAGAGTCACAATGTTGTTGAGACTTGTGTTGTGCCTTAAGCCGCGTTGCAACCTCCACAGACAATACTCCTGCAGAATTTTGAGAGGTGAAATTGGTTAACTTTTTACTGCAATCTCTTCACATAGTACAAATATAGATACAATCTATTAAGGCGCTTACGCAATGGAGCAACCGGATCTTCTATGTTTCCTCTTCCTCCTTGTGACCTCCTTCCTCCTTGGGGGCTGAAGAACCACCTTGATCGCTGTGTCAAACACCGCTTTTACATTCTACAACATATACAAATCAAATTCATCATACAATTCGAACATTTCACCAAAACATTGCTTCTTGAGTCAGGGAACTTACTTGTTGAGTCTTGGAACTGCACTCGATATAAGCAGCTGCACCAATTTGCTTCCTCAGTTCCTCTCCCTATATCCATAAGTCATAAGCTTGAGAAAGCTTTTCAAGTCTTAAAGATTCATTTTCATAACAAAACCAATAGCGAGATTACGCATATATACCTGAGTAGATGTAATGACATTGGTATGATCCGCGAGGTATCCCTTATCATCTCGGAGATCTTAAGAACACCAAGACGTAATGTTATTAGCCAAGAGGAATTCAAAAGAGATAATATAACACAAAAAAATCTGCAAAACAAAACCCACCTAGCTTTGTACCAACAAGAACTATAGGAACATTTGGGGCAAACCGACGAAGTTCAGGCATCCACTGTCAAAAACAACAATCATATTCAAAACACATATACACAAATCAACATCCACCGCATTCACTATCTAAATCTATTCCAGTACAAGGAGGATTCAAAACATTTACCTTCTTTAGTACATTCTCGTAACTCGCCTTGCTAATTAGCGAAAAGGCTACGACAAAGATATCAGCTCCTCTGTAACTCAATGGTCTCAACCTACTGTAATCTTCTTGACCTAAAGACACCAACAGAACAACAAACCCACAATTAAATGAATGAGAGCTTCAAAAGCTAGAAGACTCTGAATCATCAAAATTCAATTCTTTGGCTCATTTGGTTTCAACATTAAAATTAGACATTTTGGTTTTACCTGCAGTGTCCCATAGCCCTAAATTAACAATTTGTCCATCCACAGCTACATTGGCACTGAAGTTGTCGAACACAGTCGGTATATAATCCTGTCAAACATAAACATTTAACAAGAATAATGAATCATACATCAGAGGAAACCCTAAATACTCGAAATCAATTTTAAGCTAAACCCATTTGTGAACTCCAAGGACCCAGATGAAATCTCTTAAACTCAGTAAGAAAAATCAAAGCTTGACAATGGAAAATGAAAGCTTAAGAGTCTTAAAGAAACGATCTTTAAAGAAAACTCACAGTTGGAAACTTGTTGCTAGTGTAACAGATAAGCATACATGTCTTCCCGACAGCTCCATCTCCAACAGTAACACATTTTATGAACTTGGAAGCGCTCATTATCTTAGTCCAAGAACCAAATTCAAAACCCAGAATTTAAGGAACTAAAGAAGAAGAAGAAGAAGATGAGTGGTGAAGAAGACTATAAATGAGCTTACAAGAGACGCTTGCAGTGAGTATCAACTGCGGCGACAGCAAAAAGAGTGTAAATCTCGAAATGTTTTCTCAAAAACCAATAGAGAAGAAATTGAAATGCGTGTTTTCTAGAGAGTCGAGACAGAGAGAGAGTTAAATGTGTCGGATTTTCAGGTTCGTTTAATAAGTCAAAGTCTTAAAAAGGGCCAACTTTATTGTCCCTCTCAATAAATTTCAAAAATTACTAAACCCACTCTTCTATCTAAAAGTTGGATTTTTCAACGGTTAAGTTGAAACACGTATCGACCGTTGTAAGATACGACATCGTTTCAACTTTTGTCCTCTTTTTGATGTCCAGCTATGTGTTTTGGTGTTTTTTCTTGGGAGTTGGGAGTTTCATGTTTGCCTTTGGATATATCTTGAGCCCTTCAAGGAAATTTATATTTGAGCCATTTTTATTTTTAAAACTATATACATTTCATTGACAAAAAAAAAAACTACTGTATATACATTTCATACGCAATATTACATTCAAATTTGAATTTGGTGACACTAACGAGTCAATAATATTGTGGGCCAATTTTAAATGACATTTTGGATTATATTCATGAAGTAATTCGTAGTTGTAATATGCAGGCTATGACTCGGGTCCATATCAAACAACAGGCCCATTGTTGTTTCAAATATAAATGGTAAAGTTTTGATCAAAAAAAAAAAAAATGGTTAAGGTGATGGCTTCAAGAAGTCTTCTTAAGTGTCGTAAGTTGAGAAAACAAAACTAATGTATTGTATTATATGTCTCATATTTTAACATTTATCTCGGTTTTAAACTGAACTCGATTATTCCTTTTACAAACAAAAATTAGAAGAATAAGTACTCAAACCCCAATCGTCTATGTAACAGTTCTCATAATTTGCAATAAATAATAAATCTAGACGTCAAAAAAAAGAAAAAAAAAGTACTCAAACCCCAAAAAATGTTTTGGTTTACTAAAAATTCATAACCTTTTTTTAAATTGCGCTCATAAAACTTTTTAAAAGTCTTCTTGCAACCGCTTTCAAATTTTTGTAAGAAGTACTATTGAATACTCCTTAGATAACTTACTACAGCATAAAACTGATGTACATTGTATATGTTTAACATTGAAGTAATCGGCAGTACCTTCTAAAACTTTAGACACATATTTAATCGTGTTTTCATAGATAATACATCTTACTTTTCCCGTTACATGCTCTTATTCCACACTCTTAAGTCTTAATCCAAATTTATCATTCTGATTGAATCTTGCTTCCGTGCGGAGGCAACAAAGCAACGAACTTAACGAGAATTTCGACGGAGTTTTCCGCGGCGAGGCTGCTGAATATGCTGGCCTCGTTGGACACGTCGGAACCGCCTCCAGCTAGATCGGAGAGTGCACGGATGACAATGAAAGGGAGGTTTTGTTGGTGGGAAATGAGAGCCACGGCGGCGCTCTCCATTTCAACGGCGGTGGCGTTAAACTTGGAGTTGAGGAAAGTCCGGTAAGCTGCGTTGTCGATGAAAACACTTGCACTCATTCCACGTTTAACGATGGTGACCTTCGGTGGTCGAGGGAGGCACGTGGTGTTAACGCACTGCGGTAGCTTCGTGTCCTATTTTGGTTGGATGTTTCCACGTACACAAGACTCAATAATTGCATTGATTAAATATAACCAAATAATTAAACTTTATTTAATTTTAATCGTTTTTGACAAAATAATTGAACTTTAATTTTATATTGATGAGTATAATATAGAAGAAATCTGCAGCCGACAAAAATATGGAGAAGAAATCTAAGAACTACTATATATATGTAATACGTATATCTTACTTCATTTTCGATTTTTTTTTTTGAATTTGGATATATATAATTTTTCTGTACAATATAGTTGCTAGTTTAAAATCTAGTATATTAATTCAACTTGCATGAAAATATAATTAGGTATGGGTCAGTTTTGTCAAACCTCGAGTTTGCGTGCAAGTTTCAAGTAGGACTTGTCAATGGGAATCCAGAACACATGTTGCCGCTCTTCAGGAGTTCCGGTGACCGGAAAGATTTCTTCCGGTTGATACCAAACTCGATTAAGCAAGTTATCGGTTCGGTTACTATATTTGGAAAACTGGAGATAACCAACTTCCCGAGTATAGTCACCACCGGATTCAAGAGCTAATTCGTTGTCAATCCCATCTCCATACCTCTGCATTCAAAATATTGTAAGATATAACTATTTATCGAAATGTATGCAACCATCAAAATTATTTGTGTCCATAACCATTAACCAATTGTACCACTAGCTAACATTAAATTGTTATTATTGTTATCATGATAGATTTTGAACATGTGCAAAGCCACAAAGGATACGATTTGGACAGATCCCACGATACTAGCTATATTCATCATAAAACCTGTTCATAGTATCTTAAGATCTTGACCACAAGTTTAAGAGTTTACAATTATATAAACGTATACTCATATAAATATCGTAAATGTTTTGTTTTATAAGACCTTAACATAATTGGTTGGTATTGGTAATTAAAGTCAATAGCCAAGCCTACGTTACGTACCTGCCAATTCCAAAGGCCAGAGTGTGCCCAATATTGAGGAATAGTAACATCACCAATCTCAAGGTTAACATCTGCGTTTCCAGCGATTCCATAATGCAAAACTCCTTTCAGCCTAAAGAGGCTCACCAGTAATTGTGTTGTTATTCCTGCATTCACCTGTTTTTATGCATTTATATTATTATATATATAAACCCTAAATTAAAGTATTCATAGATATGGGAAAAACTTTGTTTTTGGTGAGAGACATAATATATTCAGATTATTTGCCATATATAGAAAACGTACCATTCCTAATCCCGACATCACTATTACCACTGGTTGGTTTGATAATTTTCCAAATCGGAATTTTCGACCTACATGATTTAAAGAGGGGAATAAACCAAATCAAATCATTTTAACAAAAAAAAAAAACCAAGTCAATTTATTTAGGTTCCAGATGAAATCTCTCTTGAGAGAAAGAGAAAAATTAAGCTTGAGATATCTTGTTATCATGAAGTATAGAGGATTGAAATTAACAAACCTAAGCTACAAAACAACCATGATTATAAATAGCTTTAAAAAATGCCTGTTTTGTAATCTCTTGGACAATGTCAATAATCTATATATGTATATGCCACAAAACTCTCACAGACCTCATATACAAGAAAAATATGATTATGTGATTTCATCCGATGAACAAGTTCGATTTCAATAACATCTTTCATATATAATTTCAAAATCAATGACAACGAAAAATATTAACCTGCGAAATCGATGAAGGGCAACGAAGAAGATGGGACATAGGCTTTAGAACCGAGAAGAGGGTTAAGCTCATAGTTGTTTGGAGCTACAATCCCCAAATAAGGACCTTTTTGATTAATCCTCTCTATTTTGCCCAATATGATTCGAGGTATTTCACCATTTGCTTCTTCAATAACATTTCCCACGGACAAAACAACCACAAGAAAACCTATCAAGAAGTATCCCATAACTTCTTCTCGCTCTTTAACTCTCTCTTAATAACCCTTTGTATAATATGCATATCGTGAGTCTCATATTTATATACATGCAAATGCCATACAAATACAATAATACACACGTGATAAGCATGGACGTTTATATATGAGTATAATTAGTCTGTTTAAAATATCAATTTTGGCAGGAAGTTATTTTTTATTAATTCTAAAACAATAAAGTGTCAATCATTAATTCATCTAGTCTATGTACTGGAGAAGAAAAAATAACATAAGCGGTTTGATCGCTGAGGGTGAACTTGTCGTTTGATCGAGGCTATTGTTCTTTTATGTCGGCTTTCGTTTGTGAGACAATAACACAGCGATGTTGACTTGTGGTTTAGAATTCTAATTGGGTCTGGTTCTGATATGGTGTTATATTTTACTACATTTTGATGTGAGCCTTCGTTGAAAACATGCTTTAAGACTACTGTGTGTTTTACATTCTCATGCAAGCTTAACCAAAAAATTAAAAATAATTATCAACATAGAAGTTTGTTGACGTGACAAAAATAAATTGTCACAATCACTAATACTGTACCTTATTTTTCATTAGTTCGATATTGACAAAAATCAAAATAATAATTGTGGTCGTAGACATATCATAAATTAAGATATAGGGTTGTTGGACACACTCTATCATACGATAAAATATTAAACTTTATGATGGAGTTGTTGGAAAGATACGTTAATTATTTGTCGATAAAATTAGAATACAAAACTTTCTGAAGTAATTTTCTGGCTGCATATATAATAGAGTTTTTTGTATCATTTTTTAAGACTCTACACTTATATGTAGTTTCAATAAATCTGGTTGTTTCTTTATTTTATTTTTATTTTTTTTAAGAGTAATAAAACATATATGATTTTCATGAGAAGTTGAAGCTGAGAGGATAATATTTAGAGTTGTATAATCGTACCAAGAGATCCGATACAATCATTTAAGAAAGAAAAACAGAGAAGTGATCCTTAATGCAAAACTAAGAGAACGAAACCACAAACATTTCTCCTCTTCTTAAAACTTTTTCATAACCATGCATTGACTCCACTTGATAAACTTTAGTGTTAAGGACTTTAGTTCTGCTTATGTCCAAAATATGTTATTTGGCACTATATCTTTCTTCTTACTCAAGCTAACTTTTTGTAATCCTCTGTAGTTGCTACCCTCGTATCCTCTGTTTCCGTAACTTTGTTTTTTAATTCTTCACATGTTAGAAATAAAAAGCTAAGATAATAAAGGAAACTGTTCTTCTAGGAAAATCGGAAAAGTAAATAGGTATAAATGTAAATCTGAATAGTAGAAAAATAAAAATTGGACGAATAGATTTCAGAAATTAGGTTAAATTGGGGAGAATGTCAGATGACGATATCTGGAGTGAGGATGAAGAAATAGACCCCGAAGAAGCGCAAGAGTATCTACGCCAAGTTCAAGAGTCCGACGTAACACCTCTCTCTCTCTCTCTAAGTTGCTCGATTGATTTGTGGATGAACGAACCCTAGGATATTTCATCTAGGTTAAGAGCATTGATCATTTTTCAATTTTGGGTTATGCTTATTGATACAATCTTGGAATTGTGGACGTGGACAGGGTTTCGATGTTGATTACTTTCACAATTCATATGCTCGGATAAAACCCTTTCAATTGAATGATGAGTATGGTTATACACATGACATGGAACTTTATGGTAGATTGGGACTTCACTGTTACAATCTTCACAAGGTAACAACAATGTCGTCTCATATCTTTGTGGCTAGTGATTCTCTTTGTCAACGCATGGGTGCTTGATCTTTTTACAGGAAACTAACCTCAAATTAATCGACATTCACAAATACAACACTGAGTTGTTTTTTGGGTACTACATAACGTTGGAGGCAGTAGACACATATACCAACTCTCCATGCACTTTTCAAACGTGCGTACGGGAGGGTAAAACTTGGGAACATGGATACTTTATGGTACAAACAGAAATTTCCAGATTAAAAGGTATGTGAACATTGTTATTGTCATGTCGTGTTTACTTCCTCTGCTTTACTCGTTAGGTGTTTAGTTCCTACAGGGCCTCGGACTACTTGTATTGGGCCTCAGAGGAGATGGGAAGATGAGGTGATAGATGATTTCTACAAAAGTGAAATGCCTAACTGGTTGACAAAGGAGGAGCTAGCTGCAGCTAATGATAAGGGGCAATACTATGAGGTATTTTTGGTGAATTCTTGTTTATTGGTTTTGAATAAACAAGGAACGTGATTGGATGATGATTCATGGCAGTTGCAAGAATCTGACTTACTAGGAAATGAATGGCTTCATCTTTATGCTGAGTTTGCATTGTCCTTGAACTGGAGAGGATATGCGGTATGTTCTTTTACCTTTTCAAACTAAAAAGACGTGAAGAACCTTGATAGGTGTTTGCCTTCACTAACCAAATGCAATGTATGTTTTTTTGTTCAGATGAAGAACTCGATTCTGAGGCGTTTTCTACCACTGAAGATCAAGAAGGTAATTGTACATACTCGGGAAAGCGGTGAAGAGTCCCCACACTTAAAGCTCAAGGCCAACAACGCCATCTTCTACATGAGTTTCAAAGGCAATAGTGATCATCCGAGTGGTAAGCCTGTCGAGTACCAAGCAATAGTACGGAAAACCATGGATGGGAAACCGGGACATATTCGTCTAGAAGTTCAGTCTTGGGCGGGCTTAGAATCCCAGCCAACTTGAGGATTTTTTGGTGTTAACGTTGTGAAGTTTGTCTTTGGATTGGTAGTGGTGATGATATTTTTTTACTAGTTTTACTTATGGTTTCAAGAATTTAGCACCATAAAAGTGTAGAAAAAAATCTCCAATAGAAATCGTGAATCAACGACTTTCTTGGTATAGTTCTTGATTTAGCTACGACACAGTAAACTCCTCTTCTGAGATTGGCAGATTGCCCTTAGATCTGCCAAAATGACTGAGTTTGCGATCTTGACTCCCAAGTTTGGAGATGAATCGCCGCAGCGTGAACGAAAATCGGAATCTCCAATATAGCAACTGGACTAACGAAAACATAGAAGCCGAGAGGTCATTAGATGAAGTCTAGCAACTAGCCATGCTTGGATTCTCTCAAGCCTATACTTTCCCTCAGCTTTCAAACTATGATGTTCCTCAGAGAATCGTGGGTTTGTAGCTTTAGGACGGACAGCTTCAAAAATTGATTTTGGAGAAGCAAATGCCCAAAAACAATGCATTTGAATGAAAGAATCACAAGCAGAAGCAGCACATCATCTCCTAGATAACATTGTCAAGAACTTCAGTTATAAATACATCTACAGATAAATGCATAAAGCGCAAACCCCATCTCTCATATATATGGATTAAGCAATTTTAATCTTGGTGTAGATTCTAAGTTACTCTGGAATTGTTTATTGTGGCTGCTAACCATTATATACGGGGTATGCTTTTGGTGAGGATGAAATGTTACACCAATTTTGAGCTGATAAATCCTAAGCTTTCAATTTCATCACTTGACCCTAAAGTCGGTAGATATGAAGGGAAAAAACAATAATGTACGTAAACTATGAAATGAGGCAAACGATCTTTTTAAAAATAATTACAGTATATATATCTGTATATGGCATCGGCTAATTCCGTATTCAGAACTCATAAGCCGCTTGAATTAATGAATTCTCTTTTTTAAAATATCGATTTTCTTTTTTGATATTTTGTTTGATCCTATATTACATGTGCTAGCAAATATCAAAATCCCGGCCGTCGTTATCCTTGCAATTATTATTTTTTAATTTAAAGATTTTTTTTCATGTTTTAATAGCCTAATCCCAATTGAACAAACCAAATAAGTGGAGAATCTCTATTTATATAATAAACACAAACTTCTACCATCATTCACAAACTCAAAAGCCTTAAATTGGTCTCAAACGATATGTCTATGGCCATAAAAATTTCCACCCTTTTCCTCCTCTTCCTTTTGGTTGAATCATGCACCGCAAGATACATACCAGCAGATCTACATGAGGTCAACGAAGAAGGGAGACTAGTACTAAAGGCACCAGATGAATCAAAGAGGCGCTACTTCCGTTTATTTAGATGGGAGGTGGAAGATTTGCAACGTGAAGCAGATGAGAAATACCCACTCTGGAAATCTACCAATCACTTGGACCGATCTTTGTTCCTACTAGAGAAAGCTCAGGATTATGTTCAGCTTTGGGACACGTGGAGGAAGGGCCAATTTTTTGCCGGAAACCCATACGGTGACTTGCGGAACAATGTTCAAGGGCACTTGTGGCCTAAACACTATGATTACTGTCGTCAATCTGAGGGCACAAATCTCTTGACTTACTTGATGTATGATTTTTGTCGTCAATCTGAGGGTGCAAATCTCCTCAAGTACATGACCTATGGCCTTAGTCCAGAAGCTTATGCTTTAATTCCTTAATTTTTTTTTTAGTCCTTATTTCCCAATTAATTTCTTTTACTTTTTTTTAGTATTTATTTTATTTCCAAAGTTTCTTGTATTGAGGAAGAGACAATATTTTAAGAATAAAATAAACAAAAATACTAAACTAATTGTGATCGGAGAATAGGAATTGTATGTTCGGTAAACAAGAACAATTTTCATAACTTATTTTCCTTCATGAATATTTAAGAAAGAAATCACAAGTGCACCATAATTTATTTATGCAACCCTTATGAGCTACGGGTTGGATTGATATTTAAAAGTGATTTGAGATAATTAATACTCCCTCCGTATTTTAATAATTGTCGTTTTAGAATTTTTATTTTTTTGAATTGGATGTCGTTTTCAAATTTCTATGCAAAATTTATTACTTTTTAATGTTTTATGACATCATAAAACATTTAAAAGTAAGAAATTTTGCATTGAAATTTGAAAACGACATCTAATTTTAAAAAAAATAAAATCCTAAAACGACAATTATTAAAATACGGAGGGAGTAATAAGTAAGATTTAGTCAAAGATTTATTGTTATCAAAAAATATTATTATTTATATAGATTCAATAATTATATTCAGTTAAGATATATAAGCTACTAACAAGTTTTAGTGAAGATACTTTAGTAATTTAATACTTTAAATAATATATTTTATAGAAAAAAAAAATAGATTGGTTTAGTTTTCGAAAGTTAAATATATATGTTATAGCGGAATAATTTCTGGCTAAAGGTATTACTTTATACATATTGGTTTAGTTTTCGAAAGTCAAAATAGATTATTGTTCTTATTTGATTTTAGAAAAGTCAAAGCATCTTAAGAAACTAGTTTATGTATCAAGTTCTGTACTTGATTTTTAAACTAAAAGATCTATGTTCATATTGTTTCTTTACATTCTCAATTCATTTATTATATATGGGGTTGATTTGAAAAATATTTATCTTTTCGTTCAAATTGATAGATATAAGTAATTAAGTACAGTATATAGGGAAGACAGTGTTAAGAAAAAAAAAAAAAAATGTATATAGGGAAGACTCTTCGTCATGGGCCTGTCTTATAATATGAGGCCCATATTTTAGTAATAGGAATTGGATAATAAAAGTGAAAAAGTTGGGAAAATAAAGGGGTTTAAGTGTAAAAACGAATAATTAATGACTAAATAAGGTTTGGCTCTGGCTCATTCATGGAGCTTGGTAGCTCTTCTTGTCGAAGAGAAGAAGAAATTCAGAAAAATTGCAGAGATTAGGGTTTAGGCGAAATTGGGAGAGAATGACTGATTTTGAGATCTTGGTTCCGAAGTTTGGAGATGAACCGCCGCAGCGTAAACGGAAATCGGAATCTCCAGGGAGCTCATCCTACACAGCTCCGATAAGAAGTTTCCATAAGGTTGAGTGCGATTCCTGGGACGACGACGATTATATTGACCCTGCGGTCGAGAAGGAGTACTGGCGACAAGTTCTAGAGTCTGACGTAAATCTCTGAATTGTTTTACTTTTCGATTGAAATCTTAGGTTTTGTAGACTCATTGTTGGATTGAAACATTAGTAGGTGGTTTTGTAGTTGTGGAATGAATTACTGTGATCGATCGGCTTTGAGAATTTCGTTGCTTTTTTTCAATTTAGGATCGATTCCATACAATTATCAATCATCTTCCAGTTGTGTTTTTTGATACAAAGAATTGTGAATGTGGAACAGGGTTTCGATGTTGATCGCTTTGCTCTTCCGGATGGTGGAATCTATCCCTACATATTCAGAGATAAGTATGACTATCCATACGACATCGCCCTTTTTAGTAGACTGGGACTTCACTGTTACAATCTTCAAAAAGTAACAACAATTGTGTCTCAACAACTTTGTTTTCTTCCTTACTTTAATATTGCGTCTGAGGCTACATTTTCCTCCTATTCGTGCTGGCTGATCTTGTAGGGAACCAACCTCAAATTGATTGCTATAAACAAATACAACGATGAGATGCTTGGTAGGTTGTTCCAGTACTACATAACATTAGAGGCGATAGAGACATCCAACAACTCACTTTGCAATTTTTAGACTTGTGTTTGCCAAGATTTTACTCCCAAAGACTCATCCTTTATGGTGCAGACCGAACTTTCCAGACTAAAAGGTAACTAACTACACTATTCTAAGATTTTGTCCAATATCTTTCTCTAGTACCCTGTATATATATACATTTTAATTGTTGGAATTTCTGGCTATTAGTTCCTTCTGGCCCTCGGACTACTTTTATTGGGCCTCAGAGGAGGTGGAATGATGATGCAGTTGATGATTCTTACAAAGGTAAATTGCCCAGCTGGTTGACTGAGCAAGAGCTCAGCAATAAGGGGCAGTTTTATGAGGTATTAATGTTAATTTTGCTTCTTGTGGTTTATTATTGTGTTTGGTATTTGATATCTGATTCACAAAGTTTTATGGATTCATAGTTGCAAGAATCAGACTGGCAAGGAAATGAGTGGCTTCATATGTACGCTGAGTTTGCATTATACTCCAAGTTTTTTGCATATGGGGTAGGTTCCTTCTTTTTACTCAAGTGGCTTCATTGATGGTTTTTCTCATTCATGCCATAACTTTGAGTTTATGTTTTTGTAGAATGACCTGAGGCATTTTCTACCACTTGAGATGAAGAAGATAATTGTACAAACTCAAGAAAACAGAGAAGCATCACCGCATATGATTCTGAAGGCCAACAATGCGATCTTCTACATAAGTTTCAAGGGAAATGGCGATCCGAGTGGTACACCTATGGAGTACCAAGCGATTGTAAGGAGAACCATGGATGGGATGCCGGGACACATTTGCCTGGAAGTTGACTGTTTGGCCTACAAATCCTGTTGAATGTATTTGGACTTTGTCCCTTTTTAAATTTATAACTCAAAAGAGTGTTAGTTTATTTAAACAATAGGTTGGAACAATTGCAGACATAATTTGTTTGTTGCCAACGCGTGTAATGTTTGAAATTATTGTTTTCTTCTTCTACCAGTTAACATTTTTTTTTGGTTATGGAACTATCTTTTGCCTTTTCTCAAACGGTGTTTATCACATACCGTCGAGGAAAAAACATTAAAAATCAAATTAGGAACGTCGCCTGAGAGATTCGAACTCTCGCGGGGAAACCCCATGTACTTAGCAGGCACACGCCTTAACCACTCGGCCAAAGCGACTTACATGTTAGATAGTAATCTAAATCTTTATTATACGTGTTTATTTCTTTTGTCAATTAAACTTTGGTGTTCATGCCATTCAGCTTTTATAACATTGTCTATATACATACATAAATATATTATTCCGGACAATTTTAGCAATGTCATTTCATATATGGAATAACAAACAAGAGAAAAGTTTTATATTGAGTACTGTAGCTACTAGCTACTATAATTAAAACGTTTTAGCATCTCTTCCAAAGAAAATAAAGAAACACTCTGCTCTATCACGAGAAACAAACCAAGAAGCTTAAACTTTCTTGAACGCCATGGGCCGATCAAACTTTATCCTCATCGCCGTCTTCCTAATTGTCGGCGTCGCCTCCCACACGATTGATGAAACAGCGCAGGAGGTGATCGAGGCACTCGCGCATAGCACTTTCGACGATTGGTCGCCATCTTTCATATCCACCAACAAGCCGCTTCTTGGCTAAGTCTTACCATCAACACTTTTCATACCAATGTCCACCACCACTTTGTACAACGGCGGAGACAAACGGAAATTCGCCGCCTACCACCTTGTACCGGGGAAGATAGACTTCACTGACCTCCTCTCCAAGAAAGATGGTTCGCGGCTTCCCACTTTTCTAGCCGGAAGTTTCATTCTCATTTCCAACTCATCATCCGGTTTATATATTGAAGGGGTGAAAGTGATTGAGCCAGATGTTTATGTTGATTCCGTGATGGCCATTCACCGTGTAGCCTCACCACCACTGGACTTTGCAAGATAGTGTGTGTGTTTTTACATTATAAAAAAATCGAATTAATTCTAAAAATCTTTGGTGTATAATTTTTGTGTGGATTACGCATAAAATATGTGTTAATCCAGTGGGAAATTGATCACGACCTTTAGAGTTAAGAGACGGACAACGAAATTTGAATAAACAACATTCGTAATCATATAGATATGTGTAATGCATGAATGGAAAAGATGGGCCCAACAGATTTTTAAAGCAATGAATGTAGCCAAAACTTGATAGTATCTTTATAAGCTCATAGATGTACTGTATAAGGTGTTTCCTTAAAAACTTTTGAAGCAATGAAAAACTCTGTATTTTGTATAATGTAAGAAAAAAAAACACACTATTTGAAGTACAATTGTTACATATAAATTGATTATTAATTCATACATGTATGGTGTGATTCCCAAAAGCTACAGAAAGAAAAAAAAAAAAAAATAAGAAAATGCACAACATACACATGTACAAAATCGAAACTAAATTGTAATAAAAATAAATTTTTACGAAAGAAAAAGGAAATGGTCCGTACTAGTCTGAACCCGAAGCCCCAATCGCTGCAAGAGCCACGCCGCGAAGAAGCTCTAGGGTTTCTCTTCTGATCGTCTTCTTCCTCGGTTTCATCAGGTTTTTCGACTTCTCCTTCGATTCTGATTTCGGCTTTTATTCGGTTTATTGTGATTCGCTCTAATTTGGCACTATTGCTGCATAGTTAGGGTTCTGGGTTTCATCTGATCGCGTCTAGGTTATGATTCTTTCGATCTTTATAGTTTGGAAATTTGAAGTTATTTATTGATTAAGCTTAGTGAATTTGATTTTCATGATGTAGCTCGTTTAGCTGACAGATCCATTAATCGTAAGCAGAGTGTTCTTAAGTTACTAGATCTTGTACTATCTCTCACTCTCTCTGATTTCTGGATTTTTATTTCTTTTTGTTAGCTGAGATATACAAGTGAGACTGTGTCTCTTTGCTTTGTTTCCATTTTAGTTTACTTCTTCAAAATGGAAATGATGAATGGTATTTTTTCGAAACCTAAGTTGTAGAAATGGTCTTTTTGTTCTTGTCACAGAACTCAAAAGGTACTGGTTAGAAGCGAGAAGGCGGTTCTGGGAAATTGCTGGATTGTTTCTTTCAATAAGGTACAATTCGAGGAGTCTAATGTTTCTGAGAGTTCTGGTAGCTTGAGATAAGAAATACTAGGATTTATTTCGCAAGAATGATCAGTTTCTTGTATTTAGAAACCATTTGTTAGCTTTGTATAATGAGTCCTTTTGTGCCCATGATGCATTTTTTCTCAGATGATAATCAAGATTGTTGAGGATACTCTAAAGATCCGTTGAGCTGCTCAGAGTTTGCTTAAAAGTTTGAGAAACAAAAATGGACGATGATAATGGGCTCGAGCTCAGCTTGGGTCTTTCTTGTGGAGGATCATCAGGAAAAGCTAAGGGTAACAATAATAATAATACTGGAAGTTCTTCAGAGAACCACAGGGCAGAAGGAGGTGATAGAAGCGCTAAAGTGATTGATGACTTTAAGAACTTCCTGCATCCAACTTCTCAAAGACCTGCAGAGCCGAGTTCTGGTTCTCAGAGAAGCGATTCGGGTCAACAACCTCAGCAGAATTTCTTCAATGACCTCTCAAAAGCTCCTACAACTGACGGTGAAGCTTCCACGAAATCTTTGTGGGTGGAGGATGAGACACAGAAAGAAGCAGGAAACAAAAGAAAGTTCGGGTTCCCAGGGATGAATGATGAAAAGAAGAAAGAGAAGGACTCGTCACAGGTTGATATGCATGAGAAGAAGACAAAAGCATCCCATGTTTCAACCGCAACTGATGAAGGATCAACAGCTGAAAACGAAGATGTAGCAGAGTCTGAAGTAGGTGGTGGTTCTTCTTCCAACCACGCAAAGGAGGTGGTTCGTCCTCCCCCTGATACAAACGTTGTGGACAACTTAATGGGTCAAAGGAGGAGCAACCATGGCGGATCTGGCACCGAAGAGTTTACAATGCTCAACATGAGTTACACCGTACCTTTCACTGTTCATCCGCAAAATGTCGTCACTAGTATGCCTTACTCTATACCGGCGAAAGAGTCTGGACAACACACAGCAGCTACAAGTCTATTGCAGCCTAATGCTAATGCTGGAAATCTCCCAATTATGTTTGGATACTCACCAGTCCAGCTCCCTATGCTAGATAAGGAAGGTTCAGGCGGGATTGTCTCACTTTCTCAATCTCCATTTGCTGGAAGAGTTCCATCAAACTCAGGTAAGCAACCCCTTCCCTTAAAACGGTTTAGAACTCTTACAGCAAAAATAGTAACTTTTCCTTTTCTGCCTCCCAAAAAGCTACTGCGAAAGGCGAGGGCAAACAGCCTGTTGCAGAAGAAGGTTCATCTGAGGATGCATCAGAGCGGCCAACAGGAGACAACAACAACAACAATACCGCTTTCTCTTTCGACTTTTCCGCCATAAAACCCGGAATGGCAGCAGATGTGAAGTTTGGAGGATCCGGGGCACGTCCTAACCTACCATGGGTCTCAACCACTGGTTCAGGCCCGCACGGCCGGACAATCTCAGGTGTCACATACCGGTACAACGCAAACCAGATCAAAATCGTATGCGCTTGCCACGGCTCGCACATGTCGCCAGAGGAGTTTGTACGGCACGCAAGCGAGGAGTTCGTTAGCCCAGAATCATCCATGGGAATGACTGCCGCGTCAGCTCACACCTGAAAACTCGCCGCCGGAAAAATGTCTGAAATCTTGTAAACAAATGGAAGGGTTTTGTAATGAGTTTCTTTTTGGAACATACATTTTATTATGTTTTAGTCGGATCAAACTCTCAAGCCAAAGTTTTTAACTGAGCTTTCTGCTATGTTGTTGTAATCTCTCTGCTTCATCTCTTCTTTTCCTTTTTGTTTTTTGGTTGAAAGGAAATTATATATAACCACAACATTATCGGTGTCATTTGTTCTTTTTAGTTAAAATCAAAATAACTATTTTGGTAAGAAAAAAACATTAATCACTTCGATTTCTGATTAAATGATATAGAGGCCTAGTCGAAACCACAAGAACAACGATAAATTTGATTACTATTATACAGAAAACCTACAAGAATAATGTCAAACTCGTAGTTAAGAAAGTGATAATGTTGTGGTTAAATTCTATACCAATGTATCAGCGTACAAATGCTCAAAAATACAAATTAATTTATTCATTGAAACAAATCTGAGATCATTGGTTTGTGAAATAATTGAAAGAGCTAAAATAGTAATGCATCGAAGCCATCACTCAATCATGAAAAATGCAATTTTGACTTTATTTTGTGCAGCTGGTCGTTGACTTTTTCTTTTTCATTACCATTTAACCTGTCACGATTATTAACATTATTGTAGTGTATAACATTGTCTTGGTTATTACTAGTTAGTAGTATACTTGGTAGCTTTGTCAACAAATAATAAACTAGTAGTTCTATGTACAACCATGGCATTGCTTTTAGTTTTATCAAACGAAAATATCATATGAAACCAAAACCATAATTGGAGGTTAAATGACTTCTCATAATCTCATGCAAAAAGAATTCATAGTGGTTCATGGTTGAAACTTGTAAGACTTATCCTGAAGTTAGAAAACCATCATGGTACGAATAATGCAATTAAGTTATGGACCATGTTAGATGCTTTCAACAGAAACTAGAAACGATATTCGACGTTCACAATCACATGTTTTGGATTGGAGATTAATTTCGACTTTAGCTTGTCCTTTTTTTTTTTTTTTTAATCAAATGACTTTAGCTTGTCTTCCGGTTATATAAATAAATAAACAAAAGCCATGATGGAGAAAAATTAAAACAAGGATTCCGCTACTTGTTTTACATCAATCAAACCAAAATGACTCGAAAGAACGATCTAGAAATATGATGAAAAAAAAAGAACGATCTAGAAATGTATATTTAAAATTTGGTATGTGATTCACTTTGTTTTTAAAAATTAAGGAAGACCAGGCATAAATAAGTCAAGTAACGAAAACCCTAAAAATATTTTTGTTAAATAGCAAAACCTAAATCATATAACAAAAAATATATCGAACCGAATTGAAAAGAGATTTGGTTTAGATGTAGTTTTTTATAGTTTGTAGACCAAAAACCAAACAAAAATATCACTCCAAATGTGTGATACAAATTGTAATTTTATATAATGACAAATAAGTTCCGATTGGTATTATATATGGTAGTCCTAAATATCATCAAAATGAGGTCTGAAAATAACAGCCCACCGAAAGATAAAATTGTTTTTTAATTAAATGAAGAGAATAACAATTTTTTTAAAAAAAGCAATAGCATTCAAATTGTTGTCACGTAGATGACGTAATTGTATTAATTTATATCTTTCATAAGCTCAATTTTCACCATTTCCATCTCCAATGAAAGATATTTCAAACCCAAGAAAATCAAGAAACAAAGTTTCTCTCGAATCGCTCCGATGTATCAAATCTTCTTCTTCTTTCTTCCTCTCCTCCACAGTTATGTCTCTGCTCAGCCTCCTCCTCCGTTCAGAAACGGTGACCTCGTCGCAAATTTCGAGCCGAGTTTAGCCGTCGTCACCGGAGTTCTCGCCATCATGTTCGCACTCACTTTCGTCCTCCTCGTCTACGCTAAGTGCTGCCACATCGATCTCCGATCAGGTTCTGGCGACAGAAGAAGGCATGATCGCCGGCTCCGACAGGGAATATTCTTTAACCGGTCAACGGCCTCATCGGATCGATTCTCCGGTTTAGACAAAACAGCAATAGAGTCTCTTCCTCTGTTTAGATTCTCTGCTTTGAAAGGTTCAAAACAAGGACTTGATTGTTCTGTTTGTTTGTCTAAATTCGAAAGTATTGAGATTCTTAGATTGTTGCCTAAGTGTAGACACGCTTTCCACATCGGATGTATCGATCAATGGCTTGAGCAACACGCAACGTGTCCTCTCTGCAGAGATAGAGTCTCCATGGAAGAAGATTCCTCTGTTTTCACTAACGGAAACAGTTTCAGGTTCTTGAATCAGTCTGAGATTAGAGAGGATTCGAGCTTGGAGCTTTACATAGAGAGAGAAGAAGAAGAAGAGAGAAGACATAGAGAAGAACTTGGTGGGTCGTCGAGATTTAGCATCGGAGAGAGTTTTAGGAAGATTCTGAAATTAGGTAATAAAGAAAAAACGTTACTTGATCAACAAGGGAATGATAAAGACGAGAAGAAGCTTATGCATAAGTTCAATCATAGGATCGTTGTTTCGGATGTTGTGTTTAAGAATCGTTGGAGCAACGTGAGTTCGTCTGATTTGATGTTTTTTAATTCCGAGATGGTTAATTCGATTTCTAGCGAGAGATTCGCATCAATGGATCGAGTGAAGAGAGGAGATGAAGAGGATCAGATAGGTATCTTGCGGATCAAGGAGGAGATGGAAGCGAAGAGAATGTTGGAGAACAAGTTAACTTCGATGAAAACTATGTTTTCGCCGGAAAACGGAGACTCTGGTTCGAAATCTAGAAGTGTTATGATCGAACCGGGACGAAGATCGGTGTCTGATATCACTGCGGTTCCTAGACTCAGTATATCGGTTCATGGAGATTGCAGCGGTTCAGCCGCTGGGACTGCGTCTGCGTTACAAAACGGTGGAAATGAGACGGAGGAGAGAAGACGGCGTTTGTGGCTGCCGATCGCTAGAAAAAACCGCTCAATGGTTTGCTAACAGAGAAAAAAGAAATCAAATTAACACAACACACCAACACTTTGATGTATAGTTTCTTTATTTTTCTTCAAGAATTGTAATTCTTTTTCAGATTCAATTTTTCTTTAGTTATGTCTTTTTTTAACCAGAAAATTCGAGATTGTTGGCCCATAATTAGTAGATACGTACAAGTTTTGATTAGAGAATTCTATTAAAGTTATACATGTTAGTTAACTCAAAAGAAGATGATTTGTGTAAATAAGATGGATTTATATATAAACAAAGCTTTGACTCATAGTATATAATTGATTGAATTATTTCTAGATTTTATTTTAAAAAGAGCACAATAATTGTTTTCAATAATTATCAAAAAAAATTTATTGTTTTCAATAAGTGGAACATGTCAGCTTACCTGGTTACAGAAGAAACCACTTTCATTTTCAGTTTCATTGTTATTACTGCAAAATTTTTGTTCAGCATGTATTATACACGACTATTACAAATAAAGTTGGTTTTGTTATGACTGCATCATATATATACACATATATGAATCATTGCTAATAACTCTATTTGTTTAGTTTTTGTTTTCATTAAAAATAAAGTAGAACTACCCGTTTGGTTTTGTCTCTTGACAATTGTATATATTTAATTTGGACGAACAGTACTAAATCATGTAATTGATTACAAAAATACATATTTAGTAGGTCAACTAACTACTTATAATGTTATTTTAATTCCATACAAACACTACATTCGCAAATTTGAATTTCAAGGGTTAGCAATTTCCTTTTGATTATTTTACTTTCTTTTTCCAGTTTCCAATTATGATATTATATGCCCAACCATATAAATATATTTATCATTATCTGATGTGGGATTCTGACTCCTCTGATTTTTTCTTTGTAATATGTTTATATGCCACTGAACTTAAAATAGATGTATATTTTGTCCTGCATATAATATAAGCATACAATAGTCCTTAAATTAAGTGGAACCACCTTCTTCTCTTTTTCATGGCTTATTTTGGAACTTCTTTTAACTTTGTAACGAAGGACATCACGATAGAACCTAGGATGCTACTAGATGAACTTTTTTAAGTTTGTATGATGTAAAAGAAAAAAATTGGTTAATTCGTTTTGAGGTTCTATGATGTAAATTTTCACGTAAAATATTTGAAAATAATATTCAACTAATTTACATGTATATAATATTATAATCTCATTTCGACATTTGAGAATCATGAACATGTTTTGGCAAGTTGTTTTGTAATGTGTGAATAGAGATCTATTTCTCATTATGTACACTCAAGTCTTAGCTATCGAAATATTTACAAGTTGGTTATAATTCAAGACTGATTTTGCAATTCTTTCACGAAAGCTGTTGACAAAAAAGAAAAGATATATTAATGTAAATTCTCGTTTTCATTAACCTTGTTGAATTACTTGACAAAAAAAATTATTTTGAGATTTGAAATATTTCTTAAAATGGAAACGATTCAAAGAACATATATAATAATACGAAATAGGTAAATGAGGCCAAAGATTGTTGTTATGTAAAAAGGAAGGCATTGCATCATACATATCATGTGGTCCAATCCAACTTATGACGATTATGAATGGATACGAAATTTAATATAAATTATTAAATTGAAACCTAACGAAACTATTTTATATGATAGGTGTATTAGGTTGAATATGGACCGATTTTAGAAGAGAGACAAAAAAAAGGGTAAGATTAACGCCCGTCTTTAGTGAATTCAATCTCCATTGGAGTTGGTAACGGTTCAATTTTTCGTTTAAAAAATAATAATGATGTAGCTTAATTCAACTTCTGGCTAAATATATCTTTCAATTTAATTTTTGTATTGGTTCTGTCTAGATTTCATTTCAATTTTGACAATTAAGAGAAAAATGGAAATATTTTAAAACTAATTTTGAAGAGTATGTATAAATACTTGCATTTTAAAACATTATGATGAAAGCAAATTAAGACAAACTTACATTAGTTTAGACAAATTGGATCTTCCCTTATGGCCTAAGATAAGTTTCCATTACAGCTGCATATACAACCTATGCTCCGACAAAGCGCATCATATTGTGCTGTCTGATACCACAGAAACTCAGGCGGTTGTACCTAAACCAATACAAAACTCTGTCTTTCGACTGGCTTCAGCCTTAATGAGCTCACAGAGCTCTCAAAACCTCTCCCAGAATAGTTTCTTACTCGTTATCTCTCGAGTTATTCAAATCCCATGTTGACTCTCAAACTCTTTCCTCAAAAACCTGTGCACTGCTAAGCCTTTTGAAGACCATCTCAGCTCAAGCTTGGCTCTGGATTTCTGCAAAGAATGTTGCTATCCATTAAACATGTATACATATATCAAGCTGCAGCACAAGGTTATTGGTCACATAGCACAGAGTAGCTAAAAAATGATATATATGAATCACATAACAAAGATTACACATCCGGGTGTAAGAATTATACAAAGGTTGGGGAAAATCTTGAATGAAAAAGCAAACATACACTTCATGTCTTGTGTGTGTAAACACAAATGCTTCAACCAACGCCTTCTTGTCCACACACTTCAGAGAATTTACATAGAAACCATTTGCATTTTTCTTCCAGCCAAAGGTGGAGGAGATACAAAGGTGTTAGTGACACCGAGTTCTGATTTCTGCTGTAGTTGCAGAGGTGCAATAAGAGCATGCCTCACAGTAACAGCGCATAATCTCACTCATCATTTCAGAATAAAGCTACATTTTCTTTGCATCATTTCTCTGGAGACATGAATGAGGAAGTCCAGCCGGTTCTATTCCCACTCCCATACCCAGAATTTGAGGTCTCAGGTCCGAGATTTCTTTTTGAGGTACCCGCAGGAGTTAATGAAGTGGATGGCATGTTCATCTGCAATGGGTTATCAGCAAAATCAATATAGTTTCATTAATTCAATGGTTCATGACAACTGACAGTGCAAAACTGGTAAAATCTTTTTTCAGGGAACCATGAAGAATTCTGAAAGCAACACAATTGCAAACATGACATGCTACCACAAGCGAAGAGGCAAATGCAGAAATACGTACATTCTTGTGGACAGGGTGATCAGACCCCAGAGTCCTCCCTGCAGCAGTATTATTATTTATCTGTGGGCTTGGACCAATGGCATTAGCCGATCTCACGCGTTCAGAGGCCTCGGCTTCATAAGAAATATTTGGTCCTCCTGCCAAACAGAGCGTCAAGAAAACAGAGGTTTCAAAATAAACGATTGCAACAACAAACCTAACAAGCTATTAACTAGAGCTAACCCCGATGATTGCTTGAGTCCACTGGCATTGCACGAGCATTGCTAGACCCAGGAACTGCCTGCAGTAGAAATAACATACTTTTGTTGAAAAGTAACACGAAAGGTGACACAACAGCAAATTAAGATTGAGATAAAACATTGAAAACTATACCTGAGACTGATTTCTAGATTTCTGTGCTTGTTGATACTTTATAATAGTCCAGTCAAATATATAGTCGAACTCATATCCTGTAAAAGATAACATTTAATAGTGAGGTAGGTAATTGATGCCGGTGAATCTTATCAGCTGAGGAAATTATAAATGATGAAGAGATGTCTTTATCCAAAGTACCTTCCCGCGAAAATAAATCACGAAAAAGCCGCTTCAAGAATCCATAATCTGGGCGCTGATCAAATGTCAGTGTATGGCAGTAATGAAAATATGAAGCAAACTCCACAGGGTGATTTTTGCATAGAACCTGCAATGGATGGGATATCGATACTTAGTCGAATGAGGATTAACAAAAAAAAATCCATCACACTAGAGGGAAACAGACCTCAATAGGAGTTGATATCTTCTTCTCACAGATTTTATCATATTTTTGCTTCTTGTCAACAGCCTTAAGACCCTGCCATGGAAGACTAGAAAAGGACGTTCATGAAATGAGGAACACAAGAATAAGTAAAGTAAATCTCTAAAAACAAAGAATAAAAACACCCTCCGAAAAAACAAAATGTTAACTAGCTTCTTTCAAAAAGCCAACACACCTTCCTCTTAGGAAATACAGAAGCACATATCCCAGCGATTCTAGGTCATCCCGTCGACTTTGCTCTGTGAAATAGAAACCAAAATATATGTGATCAAAGGTAATTTACTTTACATAAGGATAAAGAAAGGCAATATTTCTTACCAATTCCAAGATGTGTATTGCAGCTAGCATATCGTGCAGTTCCTGTTAAATTTTTGTTTTCCCTGAATATAGCCGAAGAAAGGAAATAAGTTGTATAATGTGACCTTAAAACTTAAAAACAGATACATCATTTACCATCTGCAGATGAAACACAAGGTACAAACAATATAATGAACCAAGGCGACAAATACCTGTAAGGGATGTGGCGGTTGGTGTTGGCATCACGATATCTTTTAGCAAGTCCGAAGTCAATTAGATAAACCTGATAACTGAAACTTATCAATCATACCATCCTCTTCTTATGGCATCTGAAACAGACAAGAAATAGCAGAAATATACCTGATTTGCTTTCCGACCTAGGCCCATGAGGAAGTTATCAGGTTTTATATCTCTATGCAGATATCCTTTGGAATGTACAAATTCTATTCTCGTTAGCTGTAATATCGGAATAAGAAAATCGTAAGCACATTAGATGATAAATGTATCAGTCAACAGAAATGATTAGTTGAAAACTCATGCCATACCATTTGATCAGCCAACATCAAGACTGTCTTAGGTGAGAATTTCCTCCCACAATACACAAATAGATCTTCGAGACTTGGCCCTAGCAAATCCATCACTAAAGCATTCTCTGTTCCATCCACTCCAAACCATTTTATACGCGGAATTCCACCTGCGTAACACAAACACATAACACAAAATTAGCATTGTAACTGATAATCAACGTAAACCAACAACTAGAGAGTGAGAAAAGATAGGAATGAGAAACATACTTCCTCCTTCAAGAATTCTATATAGCTTGGCTTCATATAGAAGTTGAGGATGCTTTGTTTTACTGTTCTCCTGCAATACAAAATAATTGAATTAAGGACAATCGTTAGCTTGAAGAAAACATTGCAGCTAAAAATCACCGAGCTTAAACCTTGCTTAAGTGATCAATTTAAGAGCTAATCAATTCAAAACAAAATCAATTTAAGAGACAGAAGAGATCCAAATCAAATCTCCAGAATGGATTCAATTCGTCTCATAGCGAATCGAACAAGGAACTTACGATCTTAACAGCTACGATCTCGAAGGTATCGACGTGCGTAGCTGAGAAATCAACAAACAGAAGAAGTGTAAGTTTCAAATCAAAGAGCAAACTCGAAAAACCAAAGGAAAAGGACAGAGGAGAAAACAAACCTAGAAAAATCTCTCCGAAAGAACCACCGCCGATCTTCCGGCCGAGCTTGTACTTGCCGCCGATGATACGTTCCATGGCAGTTCCGATCAAAAACGAATCTGGATCATGCGCAAGGAGGATAGAGATAAGGATTTAGGGTTGTTGTTTAGAGTCTCGTCTTTAGACATAAAACATAAATAATTATTTTTGTTTGACTGACATGGGTGGTGACATGGACCCGGGCTTGAGCCGTAGTAGTCATCATCCTTCCAAATAAAAATATATGTACACCTAATGAGGGTATTAACGTAATTTCGCATTGATGATTTCCTTTTTTGGGGTCTGCAAGTGATCAAGGTTCCAAAATCTTTAGCTAGCTAAAAATATCTAATTCAGTAGTTTTCTAATCGTCAAATCATCAAGTCTAGCCTAGGTGCAAATACCACTTCGAAACAGCATTATTGCTGACCGAGCAAACTGATTAGCTTGATCTGTCTGTCGTAGTAAACTCTACCAAACGAGATAGAAAATTGAAATTTGCCAATAGACGAGACCATAGGACCATTAACGTAATTTATGTGGTCTAGTAAGGCTAGGAATTTTTAGGAGCGATGGACTTTCTATAAATCCACTAGTTCTTCTTCTACCATACTTCTATCTTTGGTCAACGCAATGTGTTTAAATATGGATAATTTTTGTAAATTGGATTTTAATTTGTCTCTTTTTACTTTTAGCTTTTGAATTTGGGGTTTCTTAATAGGATTTTGATACTTTTTTGTAAAAAAAAAAAAACACAAACTCTTCCTTCTTCATTATGATTGCACAAATTCGAGTTATAGATGAAACAAATACACACAAAAATCCCCAAAAAGAAAACAGATTAGGATCGATAAAGAAATTCAGAAAAATAAATTATTTGAAAAAAAGGAAGAGGAAACATTAATTAGAATTGCTGCTTCGAGCATTCCGGAGGCATAACACCTCCAAACCTGTTAGTGTCCTTGCAATAATCATAGATCATGAAACCATCTCTTATCTTTTTCATCTTTGTGAGCTGCAAAGGAGTGAGCTGGCTAAACGATGGTGATGTCCACCAATTAGACGTCACAGTTCGGTCTGCGCATTTGTTGATGCTGACTGATCCCTGCCACAAGCAAGCTCTTGCCCTGTACCTACGACCCTCGGCCACAAATGGTGCTAGCGTCCAGTTAGTCTTCACTCGACCTCCTTGTGTTGCCCAATCGTCTGCGTTCCATAGACTCGAAAACACTTTCATACCTTGCTTGTTCGGGTATGCGATTCCTTCTTTCTCGTAGTTCCTAAAAACTCTGATCGGAGTTCCATCGACGAACCACCTATAAGATATATATAGTATATGATGTGTGACATGTTTAGTTATAGAAGAAAAAAAAAACATAAGTTAAACATATTTTGATGGGATTATGTTTTATGTATACCCACCTATACAGATGACACATGTATATGTTGTGTACAAAAACATATAAGTTCATTTAATTAGGTTATATACGTATTAAAGCATGCTATCTTTTGAGATCCCTTAAGTTTTGTATTTTAAGGTTCGAAATCATTATGAAAATAAAAGAAAATTTTATCAACAAGTGTGTGTACTTTAATGTTGTTTTACATTAACAAACCAACTATCTAGCTTTTATGTTTTTATGTTGTATTTCATTGATAGAAACCATTTCTTACATAGCATTGTTTGGCGTTTTATAAACTAGACTTAAGAAACCGTCCTAGTCTAATTAATTACTTACACAATTTCTGATGGGTTCCAATGGATGGTATAGTTGTGGAAACCAGTGGTCGGGTTGAACCATGGCCGGAATTGTTGCTCGCGGTTTCCTTTCCCTTGAACATATAAGTTGGTGTGGATCGTGTACGGCTGACCAGTCGCATTTCCTAGGAACTCAAAGTCTATCTCATCGTGTGCAGTTCCCGTAGAAGATAACTAAAGAAAAAGTATCCATCATCAAAATCTCAAAAACACTAATCTTTTTTTCTATATATAAAAGAATTGCGCGTATTAGTTCTATATTTTTGTTTGTAATTCTATCGAGTTGAAGATAAATTTTTACGTAATAGGCTACAACGGTTCCAGCAGAATCCCCTGGCACAAGTTTGATGAACATTTCTACGCTTCCAAACAAATGAGCCACCTTTGATCGAATAGCAGATCCTGCAAAATAAAATAACAGTTAGTTTTCACACGTTTACTTATCAATTTTCAATCATGAAATATAGATTGAAATGGATTTGATTATTTGAAGTTACGGTGTTATATACCTGCAGATTTGTCTAGGACAAGCCGAAGGTTGCCACCAGTCATACCAATATGCTCTTTGCCCCATGTAACTATCATATTCTTGCTGAAGTCTGCCTCCACAAATGTGCGATCAAGGGTCGCTAACGCGGCCACCAGAACGAACATTAACGTCTTCGCTCGAAGACCGGCCATATCGTACGAATTTGATTTGTCTTTGAAATGTTTTGGATTGGGACTCAGGACTCTATTCGATGACCATTTGGTTCAAGGAAGGCTTTCTTTATATAATAACTTCTAAGAAAAACGAATTTTTGACGTAGTCCAAAAAGTATAGAAATTTTGATAATTTACGTGCACCTAATGAACTGTGTATGCATAAATTAGACAACATAACGATTAAAGAACTAAATTCTTTAATATAAGAAAATGATATGCCGAAAAAGTACTATGAATATGTATTTTTTTAAATTAGTAATTAGCAACTAGCAACATGGGTTTTGATAAATAGAATAAAATTAGAAAGAAAATAATAAAAGACTAAAATATAAGATGATGGACACTGCTGTTAGCTGGCTTCACGAAGTTGTGGTAGAGGCCTAGGATATACGTGGGGAAGACTACAATATACATACATGGGGTCGATGAACTTCTCTTTTTCCAAATCAGATATTTTACCAATAATTTTTCATCAATTCAGTTTTGGATTAAAGCTGGTCTACATTTTTTGTTTCTTTGGTGTTATTTTCTACGTTGAATGGCGATATGTAGTTAAAAATGCAGAATATTTTTCTAATATAGCATGTTAATTTTACAATAGCATATATTCTATGACTTATTTCAAAAATAATTACAGTTTACTTGAATTTTTTTTTAATAACTATAAGATGCTATTTTATTAAAATTTTAACATAATTATATATCTCTTGTTCGGTCTTCTTGTTTTGGGCATCAGACCGATTCAAAACCTTTATGCACAAACTTAGGATTTTTGCATTTTGCGTCCAAATTATCAGTGTGGCCTAGGCGGGCTGGGTCTATGCATTGAAGTAGCATCCATTACATCTTATTATATAAAGTTAGTAACTCATATGATCGCAACACTTGTCAAGTCTATTGATAAGATTTTGACACGTGTAAAAATAATTATACAATAAATTAAAAATAAATAGAACGATTACAATTACTACTATATATGAAAAAGTATATAAAATGAAAATAATATAATAAATTACTAATCTTAATAAGAAAACAATTAAAAGCATTATTCTTTTTTTGTAATAAAGTAAATTACAAATACTAATAAGAAAATAATTGCATTTTTTAATTTTGTAAAAATATATTAAAAAGTCGAATATGATTAAAAAGTTAAATCTAATTTAAATAAGTTTATTAGAATCAACTTTTCAAGGTTTAAAGAAAAATATAGTTAAGTAGCAAAATAATAAAAAAGAAAATTAATTCAATAGGAATAGAACAAACTAAATCTTATATGAGTAATTCAATATTTTTACGACACATGAAAATTAATAAAAACTAAAAATGGAAAAATTGGATTCACTAGGGAAAATAAATAAAATAATATTGCAAATACAAAATTACACAGCAATAGGACATACTAATTTTATTTTCTTATTTTTACTTCTACTATTTTGTGTCCCATTATATTTTAAAATAATAATGAAAATATTATGAAAAAGGACAAAAAGGAATAATAATATATCTTTATCAATTTAGAAAGAAAAATAAAGTCAAATATAATTTTGAAACAATTGAATCTTATTCAATCATGAATATGAAAACTAATTCTTCAAAGTTTCACGTATGAGCATTACACTTCTTATTTTTACAGAATAAACAAATATTTAAAAATTACAAAAATAATCGCAAAAAACAAGAAAATAAAATTGTGTTTTTAAAATTAATATTATTCTAATATAAATATGAAAAAATAATTCGTTAAAGTTTTTCGTGTCAGTGAATCGATAAGATTTGACATGTGTAAACTAACTATTTGCAAACATATAGCAAAAATTAATTGCAAACAAAATAATAATAAAAAATAAGATAATCAAAATAATTAAGTAAGTAATGTAATTTTGTTAAGTTTTTCCATTAGTGGATGATTTGGTAGTATTCAGTATTATTTTATATATTTATATGGATGATTTAACTTTATTTTCAAATTTTAAATTATATATTTATTTACGGATTTTAAAGTTTTACATTATAACCCCTCGTAATCTAGTAATTTAGGATTTTATGAAAAACCTGAATAACTTGACAAGTTTTGCTTAACCAAAATTATAAAATTTGATAAATTTAGGCTTTTAGATAAATTATTTGGTTTGTTTTCGTTCACATAAAGTGGACACTGAAATGGTGAAATACTGTAAACAACGATTGTTTTGTTCATTTAAATTAATTTATAAAGTTCATTCTAAAAGTTTAAGACATCATTAAAACGTGTTTTAAGGTTTTTTATGAGTTATGTAATCAAATCTAGTGATCAGTCAAGAATAACTTTCGGTGGGTATTGTCGTATTGAATAGTATTCAAATATTCTTGTATATTATATTCACTATAAATCTCGATCAATGGTAAATAGACAAACATTGTACGAGAAAAAGTTTGATAATGAGTAAAAGGTAATGTTGATCGCGTTTTTGTTAATCCAGTTCAGAAATCATAATTATATATTCAAAACCTTTAGTTTCTTTTTCATTCCTTGTGATAATTAGATCAACGCCACCAATCACCATCAGTCAAAATTATTGTATCTCTTACCACAATCCAAAAGAGACCGAAGAGGCCAACCAATTATTAGATTCTTAGAGCATCATTATAGGTAGTTTTTTAGAGATAGATCTTAGTAATATTTAAATAATTTATTTGTAAAAGTGATTGTTAAGAGATAGTATTTTTGAGTTAAGATTTTTGTGTGATTAATGGTAGGCTCTTAACATGTGGTTCTTAGAAAAAAAAATATTAATATAAAAAAAAAAATTTATAATTATAGAAAATTTAATAATTGTTGCAAATTAAAAAAATTAAAACATACATGAGATACAATTTATAACATAAATCACAAATATTTTAAACTTAATTTCTTCTATATTTTGTCCATATATGCTCGACCAAATCATTCTTCAATTGTTGATGCATACCTCGATCACGAACTCGAGCTCTATTATCGAAGAAATTAGAAGGCGTATCTGTAGAATATGTGAAATCCGCCCAATCAAAACGTGACACGTGGCACCTCTTAGGTATTAAAGTGATTTAAATTAAATAGTTAATACCTTAATAAGCTAAGGAACGTTCCTTAGCTAAGGAACGTTCCTTAGCTTATTAAGGTATTAACTATTTAATTTAAATCACTTTAATACCTAAGATTCAGCTAACATCCCCCCTATAATGATGCTCTTACATGACAATTGAATTTAATCTTAATCACAAAAGCAATCAATCAACATCATTTTATCGATGATGTCGTAACATTGTTGGCTCTTCTTACTACATATAATCATATAAAAGCATATGGCTAACTTTTTAATTTATCCGAAATAACTTAATTTGCATATACATAAGAGGGCCAGCTCTATTTACAAGTATATATACTCACTGACAAATCTCTAAAGTCATCATCCTCTTTTCTTAAGTAAGAAAGTTGTGGGATCACGTTATTTTTTTCTTCTTTTATACAATGCGTATGCTTTATTAAAAAAAAAAAAAAAAAAAAGAAGAAGAACTACGTAATGTGTTTGCGTTACATGAATCTAAATGATCTTTCTTTGTACTCCAAATTAGTATATGGACATCACTTTATAGTTTATATGACTGGTCGATTGACCGTGTGGTTGTGATCTAAGATTTATATGAAATTATGTATTGATTTACAAACATACTCTTATAAAATAAATCATCTTGATATCCAAATCTGATACCCAAAATCAAATCAAATGACCTCTATATATATATTATTTCTCTAAATTGATTTGAATGTATAACAACTCCACGGCCTCTTTTCCAATAATATAAGTTCATACATTAGTCAAAGTTACAATCTCAATTCCAAATCTAACTCGTTTACTTCACTCGTTTCGAAGTTCTGAATACCCGATCCCACCGACATATTTCTCTGATCCTGTAAGATTGGGGGAAAAAATCATTCAGAGAGATCCATATATTAAGAAACAATTTTGTGACAATTAACACAAATTATCATGCATGTCAAATCTTAGTACATACTAACCACTATATCTCTTGAGACATGATTAATTATATATATATATATATAAAGTAATAACCTCATGTAAGAAGTGTCTTGTTGTGTTTGGTTCCACAAAATGTTGGCTCTCTAAGATGCCGTAGCTCGGGTTCCAACTGTGTTGAACACAAATTATTAGCTTTATTTTAAATATATCGGAAACATTTAAATGCATATATATAGACAATATAACATATAAAATTAAATATTGTTTATACAAACACTCTTTGACTATAACAATGTGTACGGACCTTGGTGCTATGTGAGGCTGAGAATCTCCGTATCTTATGGTTGTTCTCTCGTATTGATCATTATTTGCATTCATCTGTGAGATCACAAAAAGAATAATGAAACAATTATTGATAAAAACTGATTATTATTAATTAATTCCGCCGAGTTTAATTACATGCATGTAGGTAGTAATTGAACGGTATAAAATTTGTCAAAAATTCCTTTATCTTTCGTAGGTAGAAAACATGATAATCAATACGAATATAACTGAAGATCTTGCGAATAATTAAGATGAGATATTTCAAACCGAAAAGATTTCTTCTAAAGCTAATTTAAGAATCTGATTTAAATTTCTTCTAAATCTAAAAAGATGTGCATTTAAGAACAAACATAGATACAGTATATATAAAAATACACATGCATATATGTACACAACTTTGAATGTGGCATATATATACATACCATCATGTTTGGGTGAAAGCCATAAGGAGCCGATGGTGGTGATGATGATGCGTATGAAAAGGATGGTGATGAAGATGGTATGGATGGATATCCTCCTTGCATCCTCACATCCTCCTACATTATTCAACATTCACATACACGATACTTATTCATATAGCCTCAACAAGATGAAATAAATGCATAATGAATCTGTAACCAAATCTATATAATTCCGCAAATCGATTTAGGCATAACGTATCAAAACATAGATTTGTTTCCTGCATTGTATATGATGGATGATCATGTTGTTATGCTATAACC